TATTATAGTTCATCTCTAAAAATGTACTAAAAATAAAAAGTACAAAAAAGTTATTTATGCACCATTAAAGCTAAAAACAATTTTTTTTACTAAAACCAACCAAAATACAATACAAAAATACAAAAACAAATTACCTTTTCACACCTATAATTATAACCCCTCGCAGCATGTTAAATGTGCCAAAGTGCTATTCTACTTGTAAGGTTTCATTAAACTTAAAAGTGAGACAAACACTATGCAGTTCAAAATCATCCATCATTATTTGAGACCGTCAGCAAGTGTCAGATTTTCGTAAGCTAGTGCCTTTTAATTCATAATGAATGACGTGCTGAATGTGTATCTCCGCTCCGCATTATTTATTGATAGAATTCTCTTAGCGTCTGCTACCATAACTGGTATGAGAAGCCGCCAGTGCACCAACTGAGGGGAAATGTACTTGCAGGAGCTCTGGGGTCAGAGAACAGCACAGCTCTCACTCTTGGCTTAGGTTTCAAAGACACATGTGGCTCAGGAAATCCCATCAGATCTGTGTACAGCCACTTGAGAGCCCCTGCAACTCGGCAGGGTGACTGTAGCTATTTCAAAACCCGGGGCCCATTATTGGCCCATGATGTAGAGACAAATTTCACCGAAGGCCACTGGAAGCAGGGGGCAGTCCACTTTTAGAGCTGCAGGCCGTGGTATATAAGGACATGTTTGCAAATACAGTCACCGGAGTACATTGGAAGGCTATTTTTAGAAGAACTTTAATAAGCGTACCGAATTAGCATGGGGCAAAATATAACCCATACAGTAATATGATTCCCTCCAGATATGAGCATGAGCCCTAGTTTATGTCATCATCCATGGCTTGAAGAAAGACCCTGCCATATAGAGAAAATGGGATTCATTTGATCATTTTAACCTAATCATCAACTAAGAATTGGTTAGAAAGAAGAGGGATTCACAGGTTGTTTTGAATGAAACAATTTGAATACAGTAATTTAACCAAAAATGATGAATTACATCATCTCATTCCGACTTTCTTTTTTTTTAAGTTTTTTAAGTATTCAAGCTTCAAAAGGGGGGCAAATCACCATTTCAAAAATGCTCTATATGACCATTGGGGTCCAAACTCATTCACTTGCTTTGTGTGAACCAGAACAGACCGATTTATTGATAGTCTTCTACTGCAGTTTGTTGTTCACCGCTGCAATCAAATTGCTCAATAAATTGAGCTGAACTTGTGTCAGTGAGACCTAATCATCGAGTCAGTGAGTCAAGCGTATCAATGAGACCAAATTGTTGAGTCAGTGCATTGAACTCAAGTCAGTGGACCGAATCATTCAGCCAGTGCGTTGAACTCAAATCAGTAGCACCAAATGATTCAATCAGTGAGCTTAACTCAAATTAGCAGCAACAAATCATTCAGTCAGTGAGATTGACACAAATCAGTAGCACCAAGCCATTCAGTCAGTGAGTTGAACTCAAGTCAATGGGACAAAGTCAGTGCACTGAATTAGAGTCAATGTGTTCGAATCATTGAGTCTGTGAGTTGAACTCAAGTCAGTGAGACCAAATCAGTGAGACTGAATCGCTGAGTTACTAAAATGAACTCAAGAACTGGATCACAAAAAAACATTTAAACTGGTTTTGTGAATTGAATCAACTGATTCATTGAAAACAGACACAAATTGATTCATAATTTGTTCATGATTCAACAACACTACTCATGAACGCACCCATTCTTGATGATTTTTAAGAAATATACATTTCATGAGGGTGGATTTTAATTTGTGGGTAAACTATTGCTTTAAATGTTTGGGTGCAAGTCAGTTGGATGCAATCATTCTTAGTCCAGGTTCATCCTGCTCACCTTCAGTCTACCCCAGTCATGTCTCATAAACTCAAAGGACGAATGTGACTCATCTGCCTCGCTGTCAGTCCAGACTGATCTTCACATGTTATTTAGATACTGGAGGACATGCGCTCCTTTTGCATCTGATTCCATTGGACAGGAGCAACTGACCTTGTCTATGGACACAGAACTGCTGTGTTTATCAGTATTGAGGAACCTGTCACATCCATCTTCAGCTAATTGTCGCATTAGATTATTGATGTCAGGTATGAATGTGCCTTAACGACACAGGGGCTGCCAAAACAGCTCTCCATAAAGAAATCTATAGGCTCTGTCAATTCTGCATGCTGAGCGATTAAGCTAGCCTCACTCCCAGTCTAACTCCCATTTTGCTGTCCTGGAGCACATGAAGGGGAAAATTGCTTTCACAAGGTAGCAGTGCATTTGGATCCTCTCACGGGCACTTTTATTGGAATGTCACCTTTGATGAATGGATCCAAATGAGCATTCTCCACATTGGAGGCCTTTCGTTGAAAAAGTGGATCACTGCTGCTCTTGCTCTTCAGCAGCTGCTATCTGTTGATCCCTCTCACGACGGGGGGAGGTGATGTGGGTCTGCATAATAAAGCTCGGCTTGAGGTAATTCATACCACTCTAATTCATTAGAAACACTGGGACGAAGTAGGGACCTCTAAAACCAAGGTCAAGGTCGAACTTTACACTTCCTGCTTCATGTTCACTTGCTGATGTGGTTCAGATTCAGGTGACCCCAGAGAAATCTCAAAATGGACAAGCAGGCAAGCATACATTTAAATTACTTTGAAACTTTTGAGCGTTCAAGGTCCAAAGTGAACTAGACTAGCAACCAAATCCAAGACAAAACTGGCAGGTATATTACAGTTTGTGGTCAGTAAGATTTTTTAATTTTTAAATAATTAATATATTTATTCAGCAAGGATGAAATATTACAAAAGATTTCTACCTAAAAAAATGTAAAAATATATTAAAATAGGAAAACAGTTATTTTAAATTGTATTATTATTGTATTATTATTTTTACTGTAGTTTTGATCAAATAAATTAAGAATTGGTGCGCACAAGAGACTTCTTTAAAAAAAAAAAATTAAATCAATGATATATAAACCATCTACTAAAGAAAATAGCTGTTGCAACTTTTTTCCTCAAAGGAAATTTCCATATCAAAGTTTTTCTTGCAGAACCTCAAATGGTGACACAAACGTGGAATATTCCAAGCATTAAGCAATCAAAATGGAAAAAGGAGAGAAACTAAATCATGATGCATCTTCGCATTTTTGCGGTAGGTGCAGTTTACCAGAGAAATTGGACAATATTTTGTGTATGATGTTGCTAGTGACCTGTTTGTCACAAATTGCTGTTAGGCCAAACAGTTAAATAATTCTTCTACTCTAAAAGAGACTTTTAGAGACTAAAAGTAAAAGAGACTTTTAGTCTCTTTTTGACTTTTATCAATTTTCAGGCCATAAAAATATTGAAGGCCAGTACAATTTCTAAATTCTTCTGCCAAGTCCAAAAGGAAAATCCTGTCATAATTTCCTGACCGTCATGTTGTTCCAAAACCTGTAAGACTTACGTTTTCTGTGAAATACAAAAGACACATTTTGACGTATTAACGTACTGTACTCTTTTTCCATTTCTAGCCACAGTGAATGGCGACTGGGCTTAAAAAGTGCTGTTATTTATATAAAAACTGTTCGGAACTGCCTTGTTCAGTGAGTTAGAGTCTTGAATTTGAACTTGAACTAGATAAGGTTTTTTTGGGGGGAAACAAATCATTCAGTCTGGTTTTGTGAACTGAACCGAATCATTAAAACAATTTCTGTGAATATTGACTTCATTTCTCACACAAAGCTATCAAAATACTTCAGAAGACTGACAACAGAGTACAACTTATGTGGACTACTTTTATGGTGCATTTTAGAGCTTGACAGCCCCTCAACTCATTAACTTTCATTATATTGAAAAGAGAAGCTATGGTTTTCCTTAGAAATTCTCCTTTTTTGGAGTTCCACAGAAGAGAGACATTTGCAAGGGTGTGGTATAACATGAGCATGAGTAAATGATGACAGAATTAAAAATTTTGTTGGTGAACTACCCCTTTAAAGACCCTTTTGGACCAAGGTTGAGACAGAGTATAAGACTTGAGAGCTGCAGCTCATAAAACTACCTAGATCGAGCAAGTTCTTTGTCTTATGCTTGTTTTCGACAAAGGCTGATGAAGACACAGCCGATCCCAAATCAGATACCACAGGCAGACCGTGTCGTACGCCAGAGAAGGATAAACATAAGCGCCTGAGAGTCTGCAGTATTTGTGGTGTGTACTCCCATGTTCTCTGCAGCGTTAATTGCTGCCGTTGTGCTATAAATAGAGCGCGCACATCCACGGCCAGGTTTCTTTGTCCCTCTCCTCTTGATTCAATATGCCGCAGCTATTTCTGTGAGTGCTGCACTCCAAAATAGCTGCTATTGAGCTTTAGTGGATCCCAGTCTGATTGCCTGTAGCACTAAAAATAGCACCTGTCAGATATATTCTCCTGCGTGCCGACTGCATTCAGATGAGCTAAAGGGTATTAATATCCACCAGCGGCATTGTCATATCCTGCAAATGATCACACATAATGTGGGTGGAGTGTGCGTGACTTTTATGATTGTGTGTGTGATGATTAGTGTAAGCTGACATCATCTGGCTCAGATGTCTCCTCTAGTTCGTTCTCAGTGACCTCCTGTATGTAACCCAGGAAACAGCACTGTGATCCCATGTGTGTGCACTGGAGCTCTGCGTATATATATGTTTGCAATGTGTATATATGTTTGCAATGCTGTTTTATACCCATGTTACAACTGTTTTTTCTGGCTCAACAGCAGCGCCAACACAGAATTGAATGTTCGCTGTGATCATACTTTTCAAAGGTTATATATATATATATGTGTGTGTATATATATATATATATATATATATAAAATCATTGACATTTAGGAATACGATTGCGTAGGTGTTTGAATCGAGATAACGATCTTTTAACGATACAATATTGTTATTGATCAGCTGTAAGTTTCTCTTCTGTTCCTAAGCATAAACAAAATACAGTGCAGAAAATGCCGTGCTAATGGATAAACCCACTTACTTCTAGTTGTTGTATTGGCGGAGCTGCTTGTTGTGTGCAACTCCCCCTGAGCTCCTGTGTCTGTCCCCTCTGACTCCAGCCATTAATCAAACTCCCCGCAGTCAGACCTGCATAATGCAAACCAGAGCTGACGACATGTGCAGCCCCCCGGCTCCTACCCACAGGAGAGAAGAGGAGAAGAGAAAAGAGGAGACACATGTAAAAACAAACACATCAATAATTATAATTTCAATGACATGAATCTGTAACAGCCGTTATTTGTAGTCTGGCATTGTGCACAAATTATTTTCCAAGAAAAATGTCCGTTTTAACTACACGATTCCTCTTAAAGTCAAAATGAAATGGTGTGCGCAACCCAATTTATTTCTATAATGTGACATTTCTGATTGAAACAGGACATTTAGAAACAAACAGAATGCACAGATGAATTGAACATTAGATCTACAACATGCATTTAAAAATATAGTGAATAGGGTGAATCTTATTTAATTCTAACTTTAAACCTTTTACTTTGTGGTTGACTCAACCTGATCATGATTTTATTTTTAAAGGTTTTTCAAACTTTTTTATTCCTCTAAAAATAAAGACAGCTATACATCTCATATTTAAAAGACCTTTTTATACTGTCACTATGAAAAATGAAATTATTTGTATTTCTACCCATCATTAGTGTATAAAAATGAAGTGATTTAAAAAAAAATACAGCTATAAACAGAATATATAATTAACTGTGATTAATCTCCCAATTTCCAACTAGTTTTTCCGCTGACCCCCAAGATCTGTGTACTAGATCATTGTATTCAATGTGACTCATAATAAAACTGTGAATATTTCAATATCTGATAATGATATCCGTTTGCAAGCACAAGCACAAAAATAACCATAAAATATTCAAATGACTATTTAGGACTTGATTGTAGGTTAGTAAAACACCTCAACTTGACCGCAGCATCATCATTTTTTGGCCAACTGACTGACTGTAAACACTTCTATTCTTCCCCATTAATAGAACAACCTTGTAAACATATACTGCATGGCATATTCCTTAGATATATTTTGCACAAAAATGGGAAAAAAATAAAATAACTAACACACAAATCTAACTCCCACTGACTAAATTAAGCAATTTATATAGCGACACATCAATGTCTCTTTACTTTCAAACCAGTCTTGAAACACAATGCATTACTGACACATGATTATGGAAGATATGAAGCAGTTGGGATGCTTTTAGTGGGTTAATTGGTGAATGTGATTTCACCAAGTACTACATGTTCCTGGATCAACATCTTTGTTGATCCTGGATCAACAATCCAATCAGATTTGAGGGACATGTTTACAGTTTATGTCAAGTTTAGGCTTAGAACCATGGGTGATTTTTTTTTCTTCTTGTGAAGCACTTTGAGATACTTTTTAAAGGCGCTATATAAAATAGAGTTTATTATTATTATGATTTTAGGGTAAAGTTATGGATATGGTTAGGTTTAGGGGAAGTATTATTTCATTGGGTAAGGTCTACATTTTGTGACAGGAATGTTGATCCAGGATCAACAAAATATGTTGACCATGGACCATGGACCATATCTTGGCAAAATCCCGGTGACTGGGTAAATTAGTGATATGCTCTAAGAAGGGGCAGGGAGAGATACTGCCCCCTACGGGATGGCATTGAGAACAGGATCTGTTTAAATGAAGCGCATGCCATAGAGGGAAGGTAATCTCACCAGTCACCACTACATCAAACATGCACAAAACACCTGATAACATCATGAAAAACCTTCTGTCTGTCTCCAAAAGAAGTGCATATTTAAGATGAAGCGAAGATAAGCTATCAGCTCTGAAACAAATTAAAGAACATTTACACAGACAGAATAAAGACACATTGGGAAATACAAACTGATCCGTGAAATTGTATAACAAGCTGTTTAAATGAATTGTATAACAAGCAGTTGTTCATCTAATGCAAATACAACCACATGGGATCTTTGTTAGGAATATTCCAGGCAGTAATAATCAACAGTATTTGTGGCCAGGGCCATTATAGTATTAATTATAAATTATAGTATTTATTAATATTCTTAGTTATTAAAAAAATTTTAAAATAATTTTTGTCAGTTTATGTGCTTTTGTCATTTAAAAATATTTAATTTATTTAATTTATTATTATTTCTATTTTAGCTTGTTTTAGTTATTTTAACTAATTCTATTTCAGTTTATTTCAATGTTATTAATTTATTTTTTACTTAAGTTTTTCATCAAAAATGTAAATTGAATTTCAATTAACAAAAATAATTGGTAACACTTTAGTTTAGGGTCCAATTCTCACTATTAACTACAGTAGATGCTTATTAGCATGCATGTTAGGATATTGGGTGTGTATTAGTCCTTTTAATAATGAGAATTGGACCCTAGACTAAAGTGTTACCGTGATTTTTAAGTTTAAGTAAACAATACCAGCACTCTTAGTGTTTGTGGTATCACTGATTACCACAAAAAGTTATTTTGACTAATTAAATAATTGTGATGCTTATAATTTTGTAAAAGCACTATTATTTAGTTTGAACTTGTCTATATTTCAGCTGTAAAATTGATTGTCTTTTTTAAGGTGGTTTTAGGTACTGTCATGGCAACAAAGTTTTAAGGTGGACATAATTTCACACAGAAAAAGTTACCAAGCAACTTTTTTCAAATCACGTTTTTGCTGTATTATGAAAATTATGAAAATTGCTAATAACGTCGCTTCCATTTTCACTTCCATTGTAAGTACCTCACTGTATTTTGGCTTTATTTTAAAGGAATTTGGACAATTTGAAGTGATCTAGGAGCTTTATACAAATTTTTAAAGCGAATGCCATTGAAACACACCAAGTCTATCCCTTACAGTCACCCTCGCTTTCATGCCAGTTATGGCGCTGCTCTGAATAAGGTCTATGAAGGTCGACTACTGTGCTGTCAAACAGCTGTAGGTATCATATGGTCAAAGACTCTAGCTTTGAGCTGTAATGCCATAGAGACGTCCCTGTTGTTGGATCACGTGCATAGATCTGAAGCTGTAAACTAGAATAGAAACCCACTAAATGATGCTGTGTAACACCATTACCTATCTAGAACTACTGCTCAGTGGCTTTCCATACAATCACAAACCATAAAGAACTGACAAACAAGCAGCACTTATGCACACATTTGCACACATACATACACAAGCCCAGCAGGGAAGCATCGGAGCGATACTGTATCAGTGCTCAAAGCCAGTGAGTAGCTCCCTCTCGTCTGGGTTATTCTGCCTAATCCCATCACAAGACAAATCCCCTTTAGCCAAACACACACACATGCACCAAAGTCCATAGATAACAGGTTTGCACAACTGAAACCAGCTCAGTCAGACAGTTGTGGTGGCTGCACCAAAACAGTGTACATCACTGTACATGTGATTCTTGTTTTACTTTGTGTCTGTTAAAGAAGCAGAGAAGATGGATTGAAGAGGGTGAATGGGGGAGGAGGATGAAGCTGAATGGTTTGCTCTCCTGGATCAGAGGCCAGTGGGGCCTCTCCGTCTCCTCCTCCTCTGCTCTAGCACTGACATGACGCCGCAGGGGTCACCAGGGCTTTTCTGGGAGCGGAATGTACCACAAAAACAATCCCTGTTACACCCTCACCAACCAGAGAGGACATGGATGATACTAATCCAACATCACAAACTAATGCGATTTATGACAGAACTGACCATCGACCCGATCCTCTTCATGTATGCCGAGGATGTAACCCAAATATTCGAAACTGAAGGAGGGCACAAGTGTTTAAAGTGCCCCTATTTTTTACCTTTCATGTAGTGTTTAATATAGCCGTTTGTGAATATATGTTTTTGAGTTTTCGTCTAACAGAAGCAAGAACCGATTCAGAACTCCATGAAACAAGTCGTCAGTAATTCCATCCTTACTTCCTGTACAAACATTACATTATAACATTACATTTGTAACATTATAAAAGTCACCTTGGACCAATTTAATGCATCATTGTTGAATGAAAGTAGGCTACTAATTTCTTTAAAATAAAAACTTTTGAATAGTAGTGTATTTACCTGCCTGTCATGTGACCATTAACAGTCAACAGAGAACCATGAACATGTACATGTGTTTTTAAATGATTGAAATATAAACTTTTAACTTCAAATGGTACATAAAGTGAGTATTTTAGGTCAAAGGTGTTCAGGGTGGAAAATTTGGGAATTCCTGGTCTAGGAGAAACAACTAAGATATTGAAGAGGGTTCAATTTTGCGGATTTGTTCTCTGATTCAGTTTCCTCCCCACTGGCTGCTGTTCCGAGTCTCAAATCCTGACAGTTTAACAGTTCAATCCGTTTGCATATTCCTGAGGTGTTAATGTATTACCAGAGAGAATTAACAGATGCCAAGCAGTCAAATAAAAACCTGTCCAATAAAATCTGCACACTGAGTGCGGCTGGTAACGCTCAGCTCAAGCGCACACACACTTGAACGGAAGGAGCAGTGAGGCATGTTGCCTTGACGTAGCACTGCTTTGTGCTGACAGCAGGAGAACACAGAGGAAACACTGAGTACACATTGTGCACACAGAGGAAACCTGATATTCCTGTTCCCAGCAGAGGACAGGCACCACAACCACACATAGAACACTGTGAACACTCGCAAATTCACTCACTGTTCACACAAATAAACACAATATGCACCTTTCTTTTCTGTTGTTACTTGGGTGTTCCTGTGCTGAATGCTCAAATCAAATATGTAAAGCATACAGGATGTACCCTAATGATAATCGACTTCCTATTGTACATAGAAACATTGTTTTTTTTTTCAACTGATGAGTGATGAAGTGATGAGAATATTGAAACAAAGTGTTCCAGAATTACTGAGAATTATGGATTATGTACAGTTTAGGACTGCTTTATTAAAAACTACTGTAAGCTGTGAAAGTTTTCAAGAGATCCATTTTGTAAATTAATACATAAAAAATAATCATTTATATTTTGTTTATTTATTATTTATAAATTAAATTGTATTTAATTTATACATATATATATATATATACAGTATATATATACTGCGTATATATATATATATTTTTTTTTAAGTATTAACGTATGTTTTATATATACAAAAATCACTGTTTATATATCTATATATATAAATAAATGTATTAATATTTATATTATTATTCAAATACATTTTTATTTAATAGTTTCATTTATTATTTTTAAATATTATATAATATATATTTTATTATATCAATTTATTTATAATACTTTTAGTAAGAACATAGCCTCTCAAAATTGCAAAAAAATGGAAATTTAAAAATGTGATCACGTGATCAAGTTGTCTCAACTTAAAAGTTGTTTTCTCTTCCTCTGACGGTAACAAAATCATTAATCAAAATCAACGTATATTGCTGCATCAAGGATGACCATATTTATTTTGACTTCAATCAGGGACTAACTAAAGCTGAAATGTCATTCAATGTTAGACCACTTCCAAATCAGTGACTAATATTTGAGAAGGAGGGAACAACTTTAACACCATAAACACTAGAGACCATTCATTACCAGCCAACTCAAGGTTTACATTCTTATATAATCATGTTCATTTTTTCCTCTCATGAGCGAAATTGATGTTACGAGAAAGCTACTTTTACTAATTTGCTAAAATTAAGGTGTGATCATAAGAAAAAAAAACAATGCTCAGCCCCTTGGGGCTTCTACATTATAATATCCACACAACAGTATATGTATAGTTATACCACCAGATGTAACAGTATACTGGCAACAAAAAAAAAAGAAGAAAGTGTGATAGAAAAGTTTAATATGAAATGCTTCTAATACTCAAAAGCATGCAGGTCTGAAACTCACTGAGACAGACACGTTGTTTTCACGCTGAGCATTTGACAGTTCTGCAGCACCATGTGCAAACAGCTCTCATCTGCAACAGCAATCCCAGTGTGTTTCTAGGAAACGGACACTCTATTGAGCCTTTGCAAAGCAGCTTACAGCCGGGGTCCGGTCCACAGCCGGCAGGCCCGGCACACGTGTGAAACGTGCACTATCACGCACGCACGCTCATGCATGCACACTCGCAGGCCTGGCCTAGACACTCTCTCTCTCAGAGCCACAGAGACAGGAGGAGTGTCAGCCAGTGTGGATTGGTTCCCATGCACGGAGAGGGGAGTGTGTGCGAGTATGTGTGTGCAAGCGTGTGTGAGTGTGCAGTCAGTGCCCTCCCAGTCAGATGGACTTTAGCACGTTTACTGGACCAGCACACCTGCGTCCTAACAGCTGAGACACACATTGTTCTACCGGTTTCGTTTCAGGATTGTCACTGCACTAAAGCACAAAGTTGATGTGTCTGTCATACAGTCATTATTATAAAATGACTTTCATAAAAGCATATATTGTATAAAATGCAGGGCTACAAGCAAACTTTTTCCTTCTTCGAAAACTGCAATCATAACCAGTAAGACGATTAATCAGTGGATATTTTTAAAGTTACCTGCCAGCTTGTTGCCAATTACCTTTTTGTAAAAAATAGGGAAAAAAAATAATATTTTAGTGAATAAAAAAAATATGTAAAAATTAAAATTCATGAAAAATATAAATAAATCCCAAATATACAATTATTTTTTTATATGAATGTATAGGCTATATAAAATTTTAGTGTGTTTAAATATTTAAATTCAGCAATTTAAGAACATAATGCAATAAAAATAAAAAAGACTTACAACTTGGCAACTGACTAAAATAAGCTTATAGGTATTTAAATTGCTAACTGGAAGTAAAAAAATAGATTAAATCTAAATAGTATTTTAATATCATAAACATGTCCAAAGCACACAACAAAATTACACTAAAACAAAAATGAAAACTGAAATAGTAAATTGTACAACTATAAAAATTATACTTTTTTTCAAAGGTTTAGGGTCCTAAATATGCAAGTGTAAATGCAAGATTTAATTACACACATTCTTCAGCATCAGTTCTCATTGTTCAACAAGTGATCTCAGCTTCACATTACAGTTATCATCATCATCATCATCATCAGCCAGGTGAATCAGGGTTACTGTATGACTCCTCTGAGGAATATTTTCTATCACACGACCGCATCATTTAATGATGTAACGCTACGGGTTAAGTCATATCTATTGTAGGTACTAGCATCATCACCCACATGATCTGTGCAACCTGAATGTGAAAAGAAATATCATATTACTTTATTATAACGCTAAGCCCACACTGCTGACCTCACCTAAATTTAACGATGATTGCAGCCCATGTCATTATCTTAATCATCTTCATGATTATCACCATCACCAGAATAGAAGCACACAGCATGTACTGTACTCAGTCATTATGTTTGCACCACTGGGAGAAATTCATAGCTGTCATCATCAAGCTCTGCGTTTTCTCAGAATATCTGACTATTGCAGGGGCCAAACAAAACAGCATAACGTCCCCACACTGATCCGGACTTGGTAGTTATTTATTTTCATCAGGCGCTCAGCTTGTTCTGTGCCAGAACTTGTGTGAGTCCGTCCCCAGCGCAGCTGAGGGCAAAAGCTCTGAGATCAGTGGAGAAATGAACCCACAGGAGCGATGAGTCAGATCTGAGTCAAGCCCTGCTCCCCACAAACACAGTCACGATGCTTCTGATAGTATTAGATTTGCCAACTAACCTTCTGAGGGTGGCAAACAAGGTCTGCTATGCCAGGAATCAGGATACGTGGGTGTTTCTTCAACTATGGGCATTTTTGGTCCTGAGGACTTTAAAAATTAGGGAAATCTTAAACTGTAGAAATGAATCTCCCTTGAAACCTTTTTTAAACCAATTATTTCAATCTTCCCCCTAACAAGTAGATATTTATGTCACAGGAAAATTCAGTAAATTTTTATTGTATTTCACCTGAACCAACATACTCATTTTCATAACATTTCATTCTGTGGGGTGGAAATACTACATATATACAATTTTATAATATATTTTTTTAAGATGACATATTATATTATACATACATATTTTTTTGTAACAGTAGTTTATATATATATATATATATATATATATATATATATACTGTATATTATAACAATATTTACAAAAATGACATTTATATATATTAAAAATATTTAAAAATAATCATACTGTATATATTATTGCACATAAAAAATGTAAAGAATATTTGTAATTATTTTAATTATATTTAATTTTATCCGATTTTTTTAAAGATTAGTATTATAAGGTTACTCTTATCTTATTACAATTGTATAATCTTTTATAAATAACGTATGAATTATTAAAAAATGTATATAATCAATAGAGTATTGAAAAATGTTATCTTAGTTTTCAAAATTATTAATTTGAATTAATTCACCTTCATAGTTAAAAAAACAACAAATAACATTAAAAAATTTAATAACAGTTGTCCATATGTTATGATTGAACATCTTAGACAAAGGAGCAGTAATAAAATCTACATATAAAAGGCATTTGAAAAAAAAACAAATTAAGCCATTAGGAAACAAAATCTTTTTGTGACATATAGCGAAAAGAAAAAAACTGTGACAAGAAAATGCCTGTAGTTGAAGAGACATTGGAACTTTTCTACTGTCTTTTGTCCCAAAAAGACTACTGACCATGCAACAGTTTGAGAGAGAGAAAGAGGGGGAGTCCTGCAGAGGAAAAGGAGAGCAATGCAGGAATTTAAAGAATCTGACTTGTTTGTGTCGTAAATATGCATTTGCACCAAGAATTCAGTGAATCAGGCAAAAGGCAGCAGGATTGGAGACTGAGATCTGCCCACAAAGCTGAGATCAGTTGTGTGTTTGAGCAGCTGCCCTGTGCTTGACCCTAGAGGTTCACATGCTGTAAACTGGACGGGACAATGGTAGGACTTCATTAAAGCAAATCACATTGTGGTCCAGGTGTCTAGGCACACTGAGAAGAATAACTGGAAAAGCAAGACCCTACATGTGTGCGTGAAGAAAGAGTGATATACAGATAAACAGTTGACTAAGAGTGCAACTTTAGGTCAGTAAAAATGTGTGTATAAAGATGGACTGTAAGCGCAGGATTACTCACTGTGCTTTGGGCTGCAGCTGGGACTGCTCCACTTCACTGCTTTGGTTGTCGCGGCAACTCGGTGCACGGCACGGGTACGCAGAGGGCACGATGCCAGGTAAAAGGGGGATGTTGGCATCGGCCTGTGGTTCTTCCAGCTGGCACTGCCAGGAACTCGGATAGCCTGCAAGGCAGAGCCAACTTTATTCAAACACCATCTTACACTTGTGCTAAATCTGCACAGATGTCATTACAGTACTTCCTTGAGGAATATCAAGGAATATATTTTGTACTGCTTTTCTTTGAATTTTGTTTTAAACCCTACGCATTAACTAACTTTACACTATTTTATTGTGTAAATGTGAACACCTCCCATTTATGTACTTGTATGCAGTTTTCACAGGGCTAAAGCCTACCTAAAACATCAGCTTGGACTGGTTTGCTGGTCTTATCTGGTATGCTAGTCTGTCCATAAGGGAATTCATGAGGGTAGGATGCTATTGTTGGTATTGAGGTCATGGTCCAAGCTGGATGACCTTCTAGCTGAACACTAGTCGGGATATGAGACAAGCTGGACCAGCAAACCATCTTGGTCTGAGTTAAGCTACTTAATCAGGGTGAGTTAGCCCCAGTATTTCCTACAGAAAACACTTTTATTTAAAATAGCCTTTTCTAACCTGTTTACTTATTTTAGTAACATATTTAGCTATTAAACGACGTGTGTGTTGCAAATTAACAAAACATTAAAAAGAAAAGCAAGCAAAAACCAAGCAACGATTCCATAACGAAGAAAGTCTGCTTATCATGTTACCACAGTGGTCTTGATTTATGACTGAACAACAGCTCTTTGTCCCTGGCCTGTGCTTTCTAATGTTCAATCTGATTTATCTCGACAACGACTCTCTCCTGCCCTCTATTGCTCGTTTGGACGATATTACATTGATAACCAAAGCAGATCCATGGCCTAGTTTTCATGACCTTGTATTTGGTTGTTAGATATGTTTTTCAAAATGTTGACGGTTATCTGAAAATACGCGGAAACATTCGTCATTAGTCTTGCCAGATGAAAGAAAAGAAATAACCAAACATGACCAAAACTAAAAATTAACATCTGTTAATTAGGCTACCTATTTTACAAACAAAATAAATGTTGTATTTGAAAGGCATAACGTTACTTACGTTGAAAGATAGTTGAACTTGTCGACCTTAAACGCCTGTTAAATTTGGGCACCTTGCCGACCAGATGTGATGAGAAATCCAGTCACGTGAAAAAAATGTTCATAACATCATATGAAACAGTAGTCTCGCGAAGGGGAGGAAGCGGTTTGACCTCGACGCCAAATAGTCACAAATAGTAAACCTAACTTTTTAGACTATTTTTTGTTGACTAGTTAGCTTTCGCGTGGGGTCCACTAGGGGGCCTCAGTTAACTTCCTGTGAATCAACAAATTTGAAGTTTGTTTATTTAAAAAAATAAAAACACAAAAAGTCCATAAAAAGCATATAGTAAAGGAGAAAAAATATACATAAACACACATAAATATATAAATAATTACTTGTAGGGTGGATTGTAATTAATCCATTAGCTATCAATGATCAAAGTTTTAGCTGTTGCATTATGTGAGTCGACCCAACAGAAGCAATAGAATAAGTTCTTTGTCAGATCTTCATTTTAGGCATTAGTATCAGAAGAGGTCAAAACACCACGAATATCCTAAAGCTGCCAAAATCATGTGCCTCATCAAAAGCATAAGAGTTGGTGACTTGCTGTTAACAGGGTGGACTGCAGCCAAGCAACATGTGAGAGGGAGAAGACAGCTCAGGACTGATCTGATGAAGAATTGGCTAATCTAGACGTTTTATTAAAATATATAATGCTTGTGAAAACATCTTGTGTATTTGTGTATATATATATATATATATATATATAAGAAATAAACGAAATAAATGCTGCTGAAATTGAACAGTAGAAGAAAGAAACTCATACAGTAAGTTTGGAACAACTTGAGGGCGAGTAAATGATGACAGGATTTTCATGAAACAGTCACAACATTATTAAGCACACTTTTAAATAAGTTTTATAATTTGAATATACCACAATTTCACGTTTAATACAGTGTACTGTAGCCTATATGGCACTTCTTTTCACAAGGGCACATGATATTTTGTGAAGCTTGCTCACAAACGAGGCACAGGGTCTTACACTTGATGAACCATGAAAATCATTCATGCCTGTCCTGAGGCATGGGTGTTAAACATGTCCTATAAGGGTTTAAAGTGTCAAAGGAAGGCAAACATTATAAATCCAACATAGGCTATGCCTGCGGGAACCTCCGCACACGCACATAAAACTGCTGAAGAAGTTAAGCTTTGCCATCTTTTCCTCAACCACTAGCAATTTTTAAGTAAAATATATAATAAAAAAGTATTAACCCTCCTATGGATGCATGCTATGATATCATGTTTCTATTCTGCAGACTGGTGACAGGGTCCCCCCTCAATCAGCCCTCCATGGAGTCCTTTAAAACTTAAAGAGCCCAGCTGTCTTTCCTTTAAAGAGCAGCATTCAGTTTTCAAAGTGGTGCTTCACATTGTTTAAACACAAACATAACCCACACAGTTATCACAGTAGACTCAACTCGACACCAACCCGTATATTCTGTTGGTTTGAACAGCAAAGATGAGAAATGAAATGTAAAGGTGCCAGATGTTTCACAGTGCTGTGAAACTGATGTAACCCTAGGGCTTCAGAACTGCATGAAAGGACTGCAAGTCGTTTAAAGCGCTTGCATGCGGGTTGAGATAAAACACTTGTACTAGCCTGTGGTCATGTGAATATTTGCTAGCAGAAGAACATGAGAAAAAAACGGCCACCCTGATACACGCGGCATGTGAAACTAACCACTAAATGAGTTCTGTAATTTTTGTTGTTGTAAAGAAGGGGTGTCCAATCCGGTCTTGGAGAGCCACTGTCCTGAATAATTTAGCTCCAAAATTAATTAAAAACACCTGAACCATCTAATCAATGTCTAACATGCTAGAAATTTTTTGTTTGAGGCAAGTTGGAGCAAAACTCTGCTGAGCAGTGGTGCTCTGGGACCCCCAGTTGTAAAGAAGCAGCATAATTGCAAAGATATTTCCAAATAAAACTGTGAAGACTTCAGGTGACGCCAGCACTGGATCAACAAAACTATCAAACATTATCCTTATCCTATTGTAATCATTACGAGCTGTAAATGTTCGTTGAGTCTACTTAACTGAATACATGATGTTAACAAATCACAGATCGCTTTATATCACTGCCTGCATGGACTTTACTTTGCTACAGTCATTTCTGACTGATAACAGAATACTTTGTAACATTAAAACAAACATTTTGTGTAAAGCCGCTTTGAAACAACATATAGGCCTATTATGAAAAGTGTTATACACAGCTGATCTTGGATCAGAGAAATGATACACCGGGGACCCAGGAAAGACAAAACAAATACCTCTCTTTGCCCCATTGACTATGGCAGAGTCTTAGATGGAGACAGACTGTCAGTTCAAGGCAGAAACTCAAATCCAGTCATTTCCTGGGCTGTCAGGGGCCATTGAAGTTTGTTCAAGTGAGTCATTCATGTACTAAACTCATATGACAGTCCCACGCACAAACAGGAGCATTACAGTCAGAACACCTAAAGTCAAGTTCTCATGTGCGGGAAAGATACGCTTGTATGTAGCATTGTCAACAACAAACTCCTACAAAGTAGAAGAACACTCATTATATTATGTATCTTTTTTGAATGTGACATCATTTTAATACAACAAAAATATATAATATAATATAATATAAATACAACAAAAATATATAATATAATATAATATAATATATCACATGGATGAACAACACTGTTTTTGAATTTTTTTAAAACAAAAATAACAAAATATCTGAATTGAGTAAATCCATAATTAAACAATTAATAACACTTTTTGTATCACTATCATATAGATTTTTGCAAATATTTACTTATAGATTTAAAACTATAGATTTAAATACTTAAATCCTGAATCATGAAAAAAACGTGTTTTCAAAAATGTGAATTTGTTTTGCTTGTATTGGAAGCTTGTTTCATGGAATAAAAAAAGACAATTTCTGACTTCATAACTCGTAATTGTGAGATATAAACCTGCCATTCCTCATGAGGAAAAAAAGTCAGAATTGTGAGATAAAAAGTCGCAATTACCTTTTTTATTCCCTGGTGGAAACAAGCTTCCATATTAATTTGATGAGATAATGAAGATATAAGTCAAATAAAAAGCTTTGCTTTCTGTGCTAAAAGTCTGTATTTTCTACAAAGTGATAATTCTCTCTCTGGGCATTATGGATGATTTGCAGAGTTCTTCAGTGCCTCTTAAAGGTTGAAGAATAGCACAATTGCACGTGCAATTCAACCTAGGCCTTTAGCTTAAAATAGGTGTCAGAACTAAAGCAAATAATTTGACAGGAAAGTGCAAGCACAGGGAGCAGAAAGACTGGTATTAGTGCAAAGCTATGGCTTTAAACAAGGTCGTTTTTCAAACAGACAGCTAATTAGCTAAACCCAGGATTAATGAGAAGTAATTTCCCTAATTTTAAAACTATCTCACAGTACATTTGAGAGTGTAAAATCTGGCTAAGGAAGATGTTAATGCAAAGCAAACTGCAACAGGAAAATAATTCAAACTTTGTCTTTAATTCAAACGCCTGTGAAATTCCCCCTTTATTCACAATCCTTGGTCCCTTTTCTCAATTAAAAGCTTGAGGTTTAAAATATAAAGTACACTCTTAGAAGAAAACGTTCTATATTAAAAGATTATGTCGGATGCTTCAACCTTTTAGGGGTTCCCACCATGTGATCATTTTATCGATTTAGTTTCAATTGATTAATATAGCTTGAATTCATTTTTGGAATGAAATTTGTATGACTTACACATATTTAGTATGTGTTTTGTGGTCTTATTTCAGCACATTTTATTTTATTTTATTTTAATAACCACGCATAAACATTATTCTCTTAAAAATACAAACATTTACATACATGTTGCTCACATATTATGGTAGCCCTGTTTGTGCTATGTAGAGTGAATTAACACCTTTTCCATTAACGTGTTTATAAATAACTGAAAAAAGCACGGATGTCAGTGCATGTCAAAACATCCCAAGGACCCCAAATACACCTTGGTCCCCAGGGGGTTAACATGTCTTTGCTGGATCCATCCAGAGTGCCTGGGATCAGCCATCATGGTTTCAAAGCACTGAAGCACAAGAAACAAGACCAAAAGCACAAAGAAGTGATTATATCAAATACATGCTAAAATCCGTCACACTCATTAGCAGAATGAAGTATGCAGATTTTGTCCACTATGTAACTTTGGACTCACAGGTTAATCCATGCATTTCGTAATTGGTTTTACAACTTAGACACAGCAAAATGCATTTAAGTCTCATAGCTGTTTTTAGCAACTCTTTTTAAGATGGAATGAGATGCCACGCCGGCTCTGGGACTCGGGACTGACCCCTGAACATAAGTGTCTAGAGCAGGCTCAACCCAACAGGGGCAAAAGTCAAATGGAAGCTTGACCCTAATAAGACAAGACATCAGGGGTCCCACAGAAGTGCCCTGGGTCATGGTGCAGTCTAACCATCTGTCTAACACCTATCACAGCATCTAATGATGTATTGCAGAGAAAGCCTTCAATATGAACATGATAAGATTAAATATTTAAAATATTAACTCAATACATCACAGCGCGCAGAAATAAGAAAGCGTTCACGTCCTCATAGAACTTGTAATGACAACTTGGATTCCAAGTTTCTCTAATGGATTGTGGATCGCATTCAAATATTTCATCCAATTCGTTTTACTTGAAGATTGGATTGATTCATCACGCCAGTATGGAGACAAAGCTGGTCAAGTGGTCATAGGTCTGTGCAGAGGACTTGGTTCTTGTGGTCTTTGCTGAGGATCTGTGCCGATGGCCGTCATGTCGACGAGGGCTTCACAGGGGTGACAGGATCTCTGCTGACAGTGACATTCAGAGCTGCATTGTAGTTGTGTCTTGGTGCAGGTCAACCATCTCATCGATACGGACTGGAAACGGTTGACTACGGTAGCCTCAGGATAAGAGCCAAAGACCCTTAAACCTACCCATACCACTTTACCAATCCCTAACCGTACCTGTATCCCTGTTTTTCAGTGCAAAATAGACAATAATCAAACAATTATTTTTGATGCAATTACATAATGACACTTAAATGTACAGTTATCATGCATAAGAACACACAAACATACAGATAACATACTGTTCCAAAGGAAAAGAAATACGCATATTCTATTGTTATTCAATCATATTGTACACTCTAAAAAATCCTGGTTTATTTCAACCCAAATTTGGGTCAAATATGGACAAACCCAAATGATGGGTTAAAAATGCAATTAAAAAAATTACAGTTCAAATTGAAAGTTGAAGTTGGGTTAAAAAAATGTTATTACATTTTTAACCCAACATGGGTTTGTCCATATTTTAACCAAATTTGGGTTCAAACAATCCAGCATTGTTTAGAGTGTAATATTTAATTAAATTATAATAAATATTTGAATGTGATGGAATCATGCAAACCGCCAGGCCTGAGGAAACCCATCTTTATGCACATATTACACCACGTACTGTATTGGTAGAGATGACATGTAACATTATGCAACTTTTAATAGTAAGAGCCATGTGTTTTATTGATGGCAATCACAATTTTTCTAACCAACCCTTTTTACAGGGTGCAAAACTTCAGGAGGCAGTTTTCCCAGAGTCAGGTATAATAAACCAGTCGTACTTTGCCCACAGATTCTGTCCTGTGAGTTCCCCGCGTGATGCACAGAGAATTGTCTCTAGGCATTTGTCAATCGAGTGAGCAACACGCTTTTCAAAGGTAAAAAATATTCACTTATTTTATCCATTTCATGTCAAAATCTAAAAAAAAATGTGTCCGGTTAAAAAACAAACTGCATTTAAAACCATGATTAGGCCTATTTAAAATATTTGTTGTTGTTTTTTAAGCGTATACCAATGGATTACTAGCATTCTGTAAACAAGAGATGGTTAATTATCAGTTAGCAGATGAATTATCAGCACTGGCAATGATTAATATGAGTAATGTGCCATAGGTCAGTTAATCAAAGATGTTATATTCTGTATCATGGTTGTAATTTATGAATGCTTTGGAATACAGTCCTAAAGTTGGTCTTTTTTTAAAGAAAGACTTCTGATTATTGCAGAAGTGAAAGTAGCTTCAAAAATAAAAGTGTTCAATGTAAAGCAACTGTACTTAACTAAACATTTATTATCTTATACACTCTAAAAATTGCTGGTTGTTTCAACCCAACTTTGGGTCAAATATGGACAAACCCAGCCATTGGGTTACATTTTTTAATTACGTATTCGACCCAAAGTTGTATCAAAACAACCCAGGATTTTTAGACTGTACAAAATGTCCAATTTATTTTGATGGTCCACTTTGCAACTACATGTCAACTAACTCTCATTAGAGTATTAGTAGACTGTAGAAAACAATACCATTATCATCACCGTGTAAACTAGAAAAACGTGAATTTATGAAAACGATGATGTTGTGCGTGTTATGTGCATATTACGGTCTATGTGACATCGCCTGTGACATCGCCAACTACTGGCCTGGCATGCAAAATACATAATCAAAACTTAGTTGTGTTTTGAATTTGAAGATATCATATTGGAATGGATTTGGAGTGTTTAATCTTTTGAATGATACCTGTGATGATGACTAAAAAAAAAAAAGGCAATAAAAAAGGCTTCCAACTAATGGGACTGACTGTTAACAGGATAACTGCTTTTCCCATAACTGAAACCACTCCATGTGACTGAATGCCACAATCTGTCCATGTCAAGATGCATGTGATGTGTGTTCATAGTGTGTAGGTTGGGACGCGGACAGAGGAAGAAGAAATGGAAGTGAAGAGCAGTTTGAGGAGGGCCCAGTCTCTCAGAAGTGTTTCCACTGATCATTTCGTGTCCTGGACAGAAACTGGACTCAGAGACAAGAGGAAGTCTGTCTCTCAGCTTATGTTACAGTGAGGAAGATGTTTCTCCTAACTATTTAAAGAAATAGTTCACTAATGCTGTCATCATTTACTCACCCTCTTGATGGTCCAAACCTGTATGAATTGCCTTCTCTCTGGGACATAAAATGTGATGTTTAGCAAAAATGTCTGGGATGCTGTTTTTCATACAATGAATGAGGGAGGGGAAAGGGGGAAAAAAGTTGTCAATGAAATTTGTTCACTATTTATATTCTAAGTGTCCTAAATCCATACAAAAACTTGATGGAATTTGAGTTGTTATTCACTGAAAATCATGTTTGATTGACTTCCATTGTATGAAAACAAGCAGCTAATCACCTAAAGATATCCTATTGTATTCCACAGATAATAAGAGATGAAATTTGTTTTGAAAAACATGAAGGTAAATAAATGATGACAGAATATCCAATTTGAGTTAAATAAATGAGTTTATACTTCTTTAATAAACACTTACTTGTGTGATAATGACATAATTATCACTAATCCATTGGACTTGATGTTGATGTGTAAATAAACAGAAAGTGTACAGTTCTATTTTCCCAAGTCATTTTGAATTAAATGAAATTAAATACAGGACTTTATCAGACCTTCTGAACACCATGTCTTCACCAGCTACCAAAACTCTCCTGGAAGAAAAACAAAAGTTGATTCAGAGGATATCAAGCATGAGGTAAAAACACCAAACCCCACATAAGCTGCTCTACTCTCTCATCCACTGCATTACCTGGTTTTCTAATTTCTCCCACAGGAGAGCATGCAGATTGCACCAATTCCTGTCAGTGAGAATGTCGGCAGAGTTGAGACACAAGTGAAGAAGTCTGATGTCAAAGTGAAGAAGTCTGATGTTGAGACACAAGTGAAGACGACTGATGTCAAAGAGAAGTCCAGAGTCTCTCATCTCTCCCGCAGTAAGTCTATGGGGAGCCTGCCTCAGCACAGACCTACGGGCACCACAGCACTCAGGGCGCTCTTTGAGTCAAAGGTCACCACTCAGCCTAAGTCCAAGACGGCACCTTGGTCAGTGGGTGCTGAGAAAGCCAAGAACACTACTCTTCCAATCACTCTTCCCAATAAGAAGGATGCTGAGGACATAAAGCCCCAAACAGAGGCAGAGGTTAATAAAAGCCACGATGAACCAGAGAAATGGACCAAAGAGGTTCAAGTGATCACAAAGGTGACAAGTCAGACCTTACAGAGATGTGCATGACCAAGAGTCATCTGTATTTTACTGATGAAATATTTACTCTTTCAGAGTGAGAGAACAAAACAGACAATAACCCGATCTGATCGAAGAAAGACCATTTCTGGCATTTATAGTGAAAAAATAACAACTCCAGATGGTGAGTACATAACTTTTTACATTTTATAAATGGCGCTTTTCCATGGCTCACTATGTATGTATGTGTACACTCTAAAAAATGCTGGGTCGTTTTAACCCAATATTGGGTCAAATATGGACAAACCCGAAATGTTGGGTTAAAAATGTAATGTAAAAATTTAACCCAATGGCTGGGTTAGTCCATATTTGACCCAAAGTTGGGTTAAAACAACCCAGCATTTTTTAGAGTGTATGTGTGGATGGATGGGTGGGTAGATAGATGGACAAATGATAGATAGACAGACAGATGGATGGATGAATGGATGGATGGACAAATGATAGATAGATAAATAGATAGATTGATTGACTGACTGACTCCTGATTTAGGTAGGGTTAGGATTTGTTCAAAACTCTACAGTCTAAAAAATGCTGGGTTGTTTTAACCCAATTTTGGGTAAAATATGGACAAACAGCCATTGGGTTAAAAATTTAACCCAGCCATTGGGTTAAAAATTGCTCATAGTTTGAGGTACACTCTAAAAAATGCTGGGTTGTTTTAACCCAGTTTTGGGTAAAATATGGACAAACCCAGCCATTGGGTTAATGCTGGGATATTTTAACCCAATTTTGGGTAAAATATGGACAAACCCAGCCATTGGGTTAATGCTGGGATGTTTTAACCCAATTTTGGGTAAAATATGGACAAACCCACCGCCATTGGGTTAATGCTGGGATGTTTTAACCCAATTTTGGGTAAAATATGGACAAACCCAGCCATTGGGTTAACTCAATGGCTGGGTTTGTCCATATTTTACCAAAATTGGGTTAAAACAACCCTGCATCTTTTAAAGTGTACCTCAAACTATGAGCAATAGTAATTGCAATGCCTACCTCAGCAAACACCACTATTAAGAATTCTACTTCAAGGTTACGTTTCATGTGTTGACAGAGTATCATGTGACCTACTGTAAATGTCAAGAGCAAGCTATTTAGAATATCTTCCAAGACAAAAAGCCCTTTCTTTGGCAAAAACTGTCAAATACTGTAAAAGCACTGGTGAAATATAGAAAATAAACTTCGCGTTAGCTTTTGATAAAACTTGGGCCACATGCGAGGGCTCTCCAAATTTTAACTGGGAAAACGCCTGACATCACAGCAGGAGCAACAACTGTTCACTATGAAAATAACATGCTTTTTTTAGTCATTTCTGAGTGCTGGGTTGGGGCAGACTGGAAATATAGTGGTGTATCTCAACAAGTGATTGACTCAGCCTGGTGTAGCAATAGCAGAATAGCTCCTAAAATAGCTGGCTGGCACTTATCCCTCCATGAGAGCCGGACAGGGTCAGCTGTTCGCTGAACAGAAGCGGAGCCACAGGCTTGCTGACACACTCGGAGGACACATATGGCCGATAGACGCGTCAGAGGATCATTACTGAAGTAATAAAATAATTCAGAGGGATTTGATTTAAGCTCATGAGCAAAGAGAAAGAGCACTGAATGGTGAGTTTATGTTTACACATTTTTTAAACCGTTATATTGCATCAAATAGTGCGTGTGCTAAGAGGATTTCCCACATCATGTGTATTATAGAAGACACACTGTTGTGTAACCAAGGACATGGGATTTCATTATTCATTTTTGTTTTAAAAAAACAGGCTGGAAAACAAGTTAACCTTAACATTTTACTGTACAAATAAATAATGGTATGTTAATTTTCAACTCACCAACATGCTGAAATTAGTTAAAGGTGATTTTTGTTGGACACTTTGCTTCACTTGTCTTCATCAAATATTATTTATACATTGTTTTAAAGGAAATCTGTCTTGTATTGTTAATGAATAGCTGTTGGTGAACTGGACAGCAAAAGATGATAATGTAATCAATAATTATGGAACCGAAAAATAATCTCATAATCATTGTGATACCTAGAATCAGATAAGTAGCAAGAGTGATTTAACACAGATCCACTCAACAGGTAAATTATTTACTACAATAAAAAATAGACTTTGCTAAAATCAGATGAGTTTCTCTCCCTTCATGCTTTTAAGATACTAAAATACAGCCATGGTTGATTATAAAGCAATATTTTGCCCTTGGAAGAGAATATAAGTCTGACTCTGTACCCTTCTTCTCATTAAACCAAGCTGTGGTTCTCGACTGGAAATCCCACTAGTATCTGTGTCACAGAGAGTCAGATGTTTTCCAGCCTTCGAAATGCACTACACTGATCATAGCAGCTGTCCAACATTACCACAATCGAGCTGACAGAGCAATAACCATCATCACATCACCGTTTTAAAATGATGCACACTTACAAAATGGATTTAATATTAATTTTAAAATTAACATTATTAATAATATTAACATTATAATATGCCCGCTCCCGCAACGTATGTGCTCCACTCCCACCCGCTCCCGCAATATGTATGTCCACTCCCGTCTGCACCCGCAAAACTCTAAGAATTTATTCCCGCACAATAATAGAGATGCATTGATTTTGTGTCTTCTCCCATCCCACAGGAAAAAACACATATTTGTATTGCTATTATTAAAGAGAATCATGGGGTTGTTTTTTTGCGTTACCCTGGCCTGCATGTATTCTGACGCACTGATCAGGAAGATGAATAGTAGTCCAAATGTCAGACTAGCCTTGCTTAGGTTTTGTGCTGTAAATACCTCGTTTGAGGATCTTTTCCACGTCATTTATTGACATCTCCATCATGTCACTAGGCTACCTCCCGATCCTGCAGTTTTTTTTTAGCCGCCCATTCCCGCCCGCAGCAAAGTTCAAAGTGCCCGCTCCCACGTGATTTGCGTTGGGTCCCGCGGGACCCGACAGGACTCAATCCCAATGCAGCCCTCCACTCTGCGGCAACTGCTGCAACCTATCGAGGGACTGCTCGTGACGTAAGCACCAATGAGGCCGCCGGCGCCCTCAGACGTCACGTCCAGCTCTAATGGGCGTGGCTTATGCCTATATATAAGCAAGAGCTTGATAGGATGCTCCTTGGTTTTCATCGACTGAAGCGAAACCAGATGGTAGCACAACCAAGTCTTGGTTTGAGGATGACCTTGTAGTCATTAGGCCCAAACTCAAGGGCCGACGCGCTAACAGAAAGTGTGTGTAAGTCACCCATCCACTTGACCCGGCCGATAGCCAGGCGGTTTTCAACAGACTGTAGAGGTTTGAAAGGGTCACCCTTCATGGCCTTAAAGACCAAGGAATGGTCCCATATGGGAACCGAGGGGGGATGAGGAGGGTTCATCCTTCTAGCTCCCCTGAGGAAGCAGACTACAAGGTCGTTCCTACCCAGTGACTGGCCATGTGAATGTTTGAAAAGCGCAGCAATTCACCTTTGGCTAAGCCACGCCCCAGAATGTAGATTGACCAATCACAGCGCACCCAAGAACGAGCTCCCACAGAGGTCGGACACTTTTCACAGCGCTCCATTGACTTACAACACAGGCGTCTCATATTTTTGGTCTCGGCAGGCTATTACCGTCATAGTTTTATCCAAAATATGGTTAAACGTTGTGCCTCGGGCATTTGTAACACAGATACGCGTTTCCCAGAGAGATTGGAGGGGGGTGTCCGTCTTTTCCCTTCCCAAAACCGAAGTAAAATCCTGACAAGTGTCGTCTTTGGAAACTGTGGATGTCCTCAGTCAGCTAAACCCCGCAAAGATCAACAAGCACATCTTTTTTTTACTTCTAACCTTACTGTGAGTGTGAAGTTATACTAGTTAGACCGTTTTATAATGTTTTAGGTTATGATTTCGGTTCTCATACCGGTTGTTGATACGCTAGCACAGTGTTTCCCAACCCTGTTCCTGGCGGCACACCAACACTGCGCGTATTCTTTGTCTCCCTAATCAAACACACCTGATTCAACTCATCAGCTCATTAACCCATCTGATTATGAGCTGATGAGCTGAATCAGGTGTGTTTGATAAGGGAGACAAAGAAAACACGCACTGTTGATGTGCCGCCAGGAACAGGGTTGGGAAACATTGCGCTAGCACACGCTGCTACGTTATACTCGTGTAGTCCATTTGCTTTTTAAGAACGATTATAGAAGTGAATAGAGACCTACCCTGTTTTGCATGAACAGTGTTTCTCCCTGATATTGTTATGTAATTGTTGACATGACTTGAAGTCAAAAGTTGCTTAACCTCTCTACTATAAGTCAGGGGTCAGGATTTTCCTTAAAAATGTGCAATATTAAAGTAAATGTGATGCATATATGATTTTGAGAAATAAAGAAGTTAATAATGTTTGGTAACAATTAGAATCATTGAGAAAACTCAATGTATTTGGTAGTACTTATGTTCGCTGAAAGTCTAGATAAGGGGGTCTCGGATACGAATCAGTCAATAAACTATAATAATCTTTCATAATTTACTGTTAAATCTAAAAGCCCTGCTAAAAGCTTGCTGGGTCACTGATAAAATCTCTCACAAAACTAACAAACATTATGCCTGACCAATCGCTAACCTCCCGTTGAAAGACAAACTTTTCTTTTGAAATCAATCTCATATCTGACAGTTAAGAATGTCTTTTTTGCCCCCCTGATGCGTGCGCCTGGTTGTAAAAGCACAGATGTTGACCTTGATTTCATTCCTTCATTCAAGAAATTAGGAGTCAAATTTTGAGTTACAATAACCATATCGTGATTCTGATCTTTCTGCTGTTACAGAGGATAAAAGAAGGTCGGTCGGAGACTTCAGAGACAACTCGGCTCTCTACGAACTGGAGAAACCCTCTATTTCAGTCAAAGCATTGTCTGCACTATATCTGTCAAAAGTGGCAGCTGCAGAACCAGCAGGAAACCTCTTGAAACCAGTTAGTACTTGTAGCTACTTTTGGGGCCAGGGGGATAAGACAGGGTAAGGCAGCAAGAAAATGCTGCTAAATTGACTGCTTATACAACTGTGTTCTGTTTATCAGTGTCCAAGGAGCATGCACTGTAAAATAAAAAAAAGTTGCTGTCTTAAATTAAAGTGCATAACTTATGAAAAAAAAAACGTTCTGATTAATTAAAGCAATGCAAAAACATGTCGTCATAACGTAATGATCAATAAGTTATGACAACATGTTTTTTCAGTGCTTTTACTCATCAAAATAAGTCAGTTTAATGTAATTTAAAGGGACAGTTCACTTTGAAATTCTTTTTAGCTTGCCTCAAGGGCATCCAAGATGTAGGTGTCTTTGTTTCCACAGTATTTTTAATTTTGATATTTTTAGGTCAAACTGTTCTTGTCTATCAGTCATATAATGGAGGTTTATGGGGTCTACCTCAAAGAGCATGAACATAGAAGTCCAAATTAAACCGACAGACAAGAACGGTTTGACCTAAAAATATCAAAATTGAAAATTCTGTCGAAACAAAGACACCTACATCTTGGATGCCCTTGAGGTAAGCTAAAACATATCAAAAATTAATTTCAAAGTGAACCATCCCTTTAAGTTCAAACAACTTAAATGTCCAAATTTATTGTACTCTTACTTTAAGGCAGCAACTTTTTTTTACAGTGCATATATTGTTACTATATAGTATGTTCTACTTTGGAAAAATTAAGTTATTAAAATCAGTTCAGTTTTTTTTTTTTTTTTTTTTACAAAAGATTTTTTTTTTTTTTTTTTAATAAAAGTTCAACTTGAAATTGAATTTGCTGTTTCTAATCAGACACGTTAGTCATTTCCTTGATTTTTGTCTGTTCTAGTATCCCACTTCTCCAACTGGAAAAAGGCCAAAAGCAAGCAAGGTAAGGAAACATATTTTTTTAAATATGTACTTTAATCTAGTGATAAAATTGGCTTTATCAAGTACAAACTAACCCCTGATGTGAACTCTGTAAAAAAATTATAATATTGTCAATAAATGTGTTTTGTTCAAGATTAAGTACATACTATAATATATTGCACTTTATTCTTGAAATAAAATTGTTGGCTATTTTAGTTTGTGTCTTTCTGTAATTGCATACTCAGTAAATAACACATTGTAGTAGTGACCCTTTTGATACAGTGTCTGAATTAAATTAACAACATTGAATTTGCAGTGTTTGATTACCTACTCATTTAGCAGGACAGAAAATATCTTTTGGGTGTCTTTGCCGGACTTTGTCTGTTTCTTAATCACCGGTCTCATACTAACATGAATGATAATGTTCTCAACTGCCTGTATTCAGACTGCTGAAATTAATAACCATTAGAAACGTTAGGCGCAAAACACTCGTTTTCTTTGGCATGCGGTTTGGCTTCTGTACAGTTCAGCAGGTATGTTAAACTTCTTAACTATTTGTGTTTGCTTAGAATTAATCATAACCATTTGAAATGATAGGTTAATATATTAGCTACAATAATCTAATCTGGTTGTCATTTTTTTACTCTAAGATGGCTGAAGGTGCACAAAACAGCATAGCATATGCGCCTGAATCAAATCCATCTACACATCATCCAGAAACCACTGTTGATGAGTATGAGCGAGCCTTTACTTCACCACCCCCAACAAGAGAAGTAATGTCCATTCTGCAACAACGCAGACAGAAATGCGAGCTTAGACGACTGCTAAAACACACTTATCCTGAGTTGAAAAATGTAGACAGTTTGGTTGAGAGGGAGATGGCTGATATTCTCAACATCGACCCAGTCACAGACACTGGATACCAGAGTGAGGTCCAAACTCGGTGCTGGATGTTTGAGAACCATGATATCAATTCAGTGGATTTCCACGACCAAAAACCACAGATGAAAAAGGAGTTTCAAGAGGGAGAAATCAAGAGAACCGTTTGTATGTTTGAACAACCTACAGCCAACCTCCTCAACGAAGAGAACAAACCCCAACTCAACGAATCCGAGGAAGGGACATCAGAGCAGAGCATCAGAGTGGATGTGAAAGCCACACGCAGAATGTTCGAAGCTCAATCGATGGATATTCTGAGAGACAGTCAAAGCCCCTGTCCAAGGAAAAATATTGTTTCTGAGGAGGAAGGTGGTTCGGTCTGGAAACCAAAGAACAATTCTGAAACTGATGGAAAACAAACATCAAACATTCACCATAACAGTGAAACTACTGATTTCATAAACACAAACGAGGTCTTTGTAGGTATATCTAGAGCAAAACAGGTCTTTGAAACAATATTACTTGACAAGGAGAACATCTCACCCACAAATGATAGCTGTAGCCAAGAGGAAGAACTGCTGAAGGCAAATGTAAAAAATAGAGCTCAGATGTTTGAATCAACTCCACTTGATAAGATCAATCAGCAAACCAAGGAAGAATCAGAAACCATCCTTGAGAACATGCAGGAAACTCTAGTTTCTTTATGCAACTTCAGTATCATGCATTCTGGTGGAACTATCCTTGAAGCTAATGAAACTGGCCATATCAAGAAAGCAAGATATCACTTCATACAAGAAGATACAAAACCAGAAATTGATGAGGAGGAGATAGTGACTGGAAACATAAAGAGCATCATGCTTCAGATGCTACCAGGAACAAGCCTGAACCCAACTGTGACCTTCCTAAAAGAGGACAGTCAGGGCAATGTGGAGATTCAGAAAGTAGATGTTCCCACTCACCAACTTCCGTTCACTCAAGATAAAGAGTGCAGGACTGCCAATGTGGTGCAGATTACTGAAGATCTACTCAGTCAAGAGAAATCCATGAGGAAAGGCGTCTTAATACAAGATGGTACCACAGGAATGAGAGAGATAACAGTTTATGTACTTTTTATCCACAGTGAAGTAAAGGAGTTGGGTAAAATTGAGTGTAAATCCATTCCCCCAAGTCTAAAGATTGAACCAGAGTCTGAAACGGGTGATCTCAAGACATATATTAGTTCATCTGAAAGTTCTTCAGCAGTATATACAAACAAAACTAGCAATGTGCAGCTATGCCAGAGCTGCATTGAGAAAGAAGACCTTGATCATCTAAAAAGGCTTCAGGAAACATCATCAGATGTAGATATAGGTGCGTCAGAAAAAACAAGTGAGATTATACCAGGTAATGCTACCCATTTCAAAGCCATTTTTACTAACAATATAGACAATTTAAGCTTCAAAACACAATCAGAAGAAAACAAGTCAAAAGTGTCACCAATAGAAAGTGTTATAAATAATGAAAATAATACAGAAAAATCAAACGAGGCTGAAATTTGCACCAACAGTGTGGGCACTCCAAGAATTCTCCAAGATCAAGATATCATGGATGATGGAGTAGTTCAAGCAGAACTTGTTGATGTTGTGGAAGATGAGTTAGTGAATCTGCAAACAGCAATTATGAATCTTCATCAAGCCACAATGGAGGCGAAAGCTCTTCAGCAGAGTGTACAAGCACTTGCTTCCCAGACCAACCAGACCCAACAAATCTGTGACCTCGGTTCAGTAAACCATGAGTTTACGCATGTGAAAAACAATAATAATGTAAGTGTGAAAGAAGAGCTCTCACAGTTCTACGAAACTCAAACGGAAGAAGAGAGTAAGGAGGACGCTACGAGGGGCAGCATACAGGCAGCTCTTGATTCCTTGGGAAAGTCCAACTTTAATGTCTCAAAGGGGGATTATAGAGCTGCAATGATTTATAGAAACTCTGCTAAAGGATTTACAGGACATAAACAGACAGATGTAGAGGAGTCAAGTAAAAGGACTAAAGAAAATAAGCCATCAACATATTCTCCAGCACCACTAGCTGAACAAGAGACTTTAAAATCACTTGGTGAGAAAACTGCCACAACCCAGTTTGAAAACAAACAAGTGACTTGTTCTCCCCTTCATGTCTCCATAGAAACACGTGTTAAAAATCGGAAAACTCCTATTGGACCCAAGCCAGCTATCCCACCTAAACCAGATCATTTAAAAATAAAGCCAAACCCTCTTGGTACTGAAACTGATGCATACCGTCTCAACAAATGCCAAGTCCCTACTGCTACTTTAAAATCACTAACTGAGCAGATTAAAGAACCTTCAAATCCCAAACTAAGCCCAGACCCAGCGGCTCATGAAGATGTACTGCGTACTGATGCCAATGAACCTGAACCTAGTGATACATCAATGACCAACGCTGAGAGTCCGGAAAACAAAGAGCTAAATGACATACAAGTTGTTGAAGAACCTCCAAAGAGCTCCCCAGAAAGCATTGTCAGTGAATCTTCCACAGGATTTCATGGCACTCTTCAAAACTTCGGGCTAAAGCAGAGTGGTTCAGAGCCTCCCGTGAAACCTAAAAGAATCAAAATGGCTAAAGAAAATGTGAAAAACACTATAGACAACCCCAATAACAACTCCACCATTTTGGAAACCGAAACGGCACTGGAAATCAGTCCTTCTCCTCACAACAATGACTGCTTGGATAAGACCTGTAAGGTAGATAGCAACAACCATGAAGAAAAACAAAATAAAAGTGATGATCAACAAGTCAGTGGAGTGGTTAGACGGAAAAAGAAAAGCAGAGGAGAGACTGAGGATGAGCGAAGGCAGAGACTCTCAGTGCACATGGATGAAATCATGAAAGGAAACGTGCCGGCTGTCATGGAGATCTTCGACAAGCTGAAAAAACAAGAGGAACTGAAAAACATACTCTCCAAAGTAGAGGAGATCGAAGAAGACACCAACAAAGTAGACGTGAGCTCGCTTAGAAACATTTTCGAGAGCGTACCGGATTGGGTTGTGCCTCGGGCGAAAAAGATCAAACCGAAAATAGTCAAGTCGGAACATTTAGGAGCGCCAAGTGAACCTGAGGTGATGACATCCATGGAGGTTGCTTTTGGGGACCTCGAGAAAGCAGGTGCTGACATCATCCGTTTAAAAGACCAAACGCTTGCGAGACTCATGGATATAGAGGAGGCCATTAAAAAGGCCCTTTACTCAGTCTCGACTCTGAAATCTGACTCTGACATTGTAGGACTCTCTGGTCTCCTCAGGGAGTCAATGGTGGCTGTACAAGGCTCACCTCCACCAGGTAATATCAGGAAAATCAGTATTGGGTCGAGCAAATCTCCAAAAGCTCAAAACAAGATGGGAAGGAGTGTTTCTGGACAGTCAACGGCACAGCAAAAGCCAGAGCTTTTTATTCCCACAACCAAACAGAGATCAACCTCACCAGCGTCTCCTTCGTTTATTTCCATTCAGTCAGCAGCGAGGAAGCCTACGGAGTCGCCATCGTCTCAGATCAGTCCCCTGAAAGCAGAACCGAAAGAAGAGGCCAAGCCCCAGTGCTGCTGTAGTGTGCCTTCAGACCGCAGGCAATGTTCTGTCCCAAAGGGGGATTCCTCCAGCCCCCCAAATCCACAACGGCAGGTCAGTGTGCTGGAAGTGCAAACGATGCCTGAGGTAGAGAAGGTAATCGGAACAGAAACCATCAAAGAGAACTACGAGAGGACGGACTGCTTCGGCAACAAGTTCTACTCCTCGAAAACCTCCACGGTTGTGACAACCCAACCGGAAACAAAGACAACTTCTAGAAAGCTTATTACGAGCAGTCCAGCCACATCTGAAATGGTCACATACCCAAGAATCAACACACCTTTTATTAGAGAGGACCATCCCCCACTGTAAATGTGGCAAATTTATTTCAGTTTTGGTTGTTACATAAATGAAAGATCTAATAATGTAACAGCAAATGCATTTAAATGTACTGTTTTGCTTGGTTACTGTATCTTTCGTGGTTATGTCAGTATTGACCATTGTTATTATTTCAGTTTTGTGTGAATTAATATTTTTTTTAACTAATATTTCCTTAGTATGTTGCAGTCATGCATGTTCTGATATTTCTGTAAATACAATATCATTTGAATTTCTGCCATATTTCTCAATAAAAGTAATAGTGTCATTCTAAATTTCAGTAAATAGGTGTTCTCATGTTTAATAGTTAAAGGAGTAGTTCACTTAAAAAAAAACTTTTGCTGATAATTTACTCACCCCCATGTCATCCAAGATATCCATGTCATTCTTTCTTCAGTCGCAAAGAAATGAAGGTTTTTGATGAAAACATTCCAGGATTTTCTCCATATAATGCACTTTACTGGTAACCAAACAGTTCAAGGTCCAAAAGACAGTTTCAGTGCAAACTGCAAACTGTTCAAAGGGCTTTAAACAAGACTATGAATAAGGGTCTTATCAAGTGAAGTGATCCCTCATTTAAAAAAAAAAAAGTTTTATAAGCTCAAATGGTCACCTTGCTATGTTGCTCAGTCTAGTGACATATCAGGGCCATTTTATGATTATCACTCACTCTCACAACAATTCATGACTATTTTGTACTATGATCTACAGAAATATTCAATCAACAATCTGGTAACTTTATTTAGTCTTGAACAAACATTTTAAAATACCTAGCAGATCATTATGTCACACACATCTAACGGGCAAAATGCTCAATAAGGCGGCTCAACCACAAAACAAAAAAAAATTAAAAAGGAAGGAAAAGTTGGCCGACTACAGCTCCAAAAACAGAAAAATAATTTTTCAAGTTCTCAAGGTGAGAATTTACGTTTCTTCACCTCAGCCTGAGAACATGAAATAAATATCTTTCTGTTTTTGATGTGGATGGTGTCAACTTTTCCTTCCTTCCTAGTTTTCTTCTTTGTTTAATCTTTATGAAAAAGAAATCTCATTCAGCCAATATGAAGAAAAAACACAGCTTGTGTTTTACTGAAAGAATACAAACATCATGTATACCAGTGTTTTCCAAAAGCCCGCATAAAAAACACAAACTAAAAGGTGAAGTGAATTAAAAGTCAACTTCTGACCCCAAGTCAATGGTGTGTTAACCCGTTTGTGTGACTGTAGTTTCAGCCAGCAGCTCAAGAAACATGCTCAGCCTGTCTGAAACCAGTTTACCCAATGGAAAGAATGGCAGCTGATAAACTCATTTTTCACAAAACCTGTTTCTGCTGCAAGCACTGCAAAAAGAAACTGAGGTAAGAATAATATGGACATCGCTGAAATATAAACATTTAAAACACATAACATCTATAATCCTACATGAGTGAAATCCCTTTGCAACTAGACCATAAATCACAGCAAATCATTTATTAGGCAGCGCTGAAGTTGCAGTTCTGCACCAGTCTTTAGACTTTGCCTCTAAAGCCATTAACCTACTTTGCTGACACTGCAGCTGTTGCTTAAAACGGTTAATCTACAAATATGCACCCAATTAATGTGTTTTTTTTATAGCCTACAGATCATAGGAATATACTAAAATGTGTTTTGCTTGGTTTTAGCCATCAAAGCTATGCGCCTCTCTACGGGGAATTCTACTGTGTTTTCCACTATCAGCAGCTTTTCAGAAGGAAGGGCAACTATGACGAGGGTTTCGGCCGTCAACAGCATAAAGACCGTTGGCTACAGAGGAATGGCACTGACGTCATTTAAAACCACTGAACAAGTATATGGGCCGTAACCAGCAGATGGTCTTATGTAGGCAAATACGATTTTCTGGTCTTTTGTCTCTTGTGATTATGCATCAACACGTTTAAATCAAATAAGGATTTAATATTAAAGTAACATGATTTCACAAAGCAGTTTATGTCTATAAATCAGTATTCTATTCTAAAATGTTTATGTTCTTATCTTTGAGACCCTGATGTTGGTGTGTTTTATGACATCTTAAGATCATTAAAACTAATATTGTACATACTGACTGATGTATCTCTATAATTTTAGAAACAAATGTGTCAAAAACATGGATATGTCTGGCATAAAAATCAAATATGAGTATTTGTACATAGTTTTTAGCCGCTGTTTCACAATTAAATTACTGAACTTATAAATAAATGACCAAATTATGTCTTTATTAATGGCTTTCTAGTTTTTTGTAGCATCAGTCTGAAAAGTATTGGGGAAAAAACACTCCTGCATGTGTTGAATCATTAATAAATCACAGTTTTCTTTATTATTATTTTTCAAAATGAAGTGCTAAAAAAAGTACAAATTCGTTTTTATCAATAAAACTTTACAAACATGATACTTGCCGCATGAAAAGTAAACAGTGACACCTGTTTTTCTTATTATTGCATAAATCTATTAAAACACCCATGAACATCAACTACATGTTTAAATGGCAGTATAAATCTCATAATTTTGTGCTACTGAGAGCCATTTCCTGCTCCTGATTCAGTCCGTTTTCAATGCTGGCTTTCTTTGATCCCCTGTAAATGAGAGATTAAAAAAAATAATAACTTATTTTGTATTGAATTATGTGCATCAAAAGTTAAGTGCTTTTTACATGATTCATTATTGCAAGAGATGTTTCATGCTAATACTAATGTAAAGAATCCTCACATGCTCTCATCCACGGGAGCGTCAGTGTGGTCCTGTAGTTCGGTGTTTAGTGTTTCTGGGAGCAGGAAGGTCAAGGCTCCTCCCACAAAAGGAAGAGAGCCGTATATGACCATTGGAATAGAATGATGATACACGTTCAACAAGCCAATCAGAGGAGCTAGAATACCAGCGACACGTGCACACATGGAGTTCAGTCCCACTCCATTTTGCCTAGACAATTGAGTTTAAGAATGAGAACTCATGTAGAATGCAGAACTGAAAACAGTGAGTTTCTCTCTTTTACATACACACCTGACAACCGTTGGGTACAGCTCAGCAGTGTACACATACACTATGGTGAAAGAGGCAGCGAGGGAGAACTTCCCAATCACAGCGATCACAGTCACAATCACAGGATACTCTGGGAAAAAACAGATCGAGTTGAAAACGTCTTTCTGTCACATTTGTGAACATTTAAGCAGCTTGTCGAATGCTTTTCTAACCCAGTCTCATGAAAGCTCCTCATAACAAGAGTTGTATGATTTGGTGAATTAGACATACATCATCTCATTAATACATTTTTATATGATCTGCTCATACAGTCCTGAGCGCTTAGGTTCACTAAGCTTTTGCTAATAATTTACTCACCCCCATGTCATCCAAGATATCCATGTCATTCTTTCTTCAGTCGAAAAGAGATTGGTTTTTGATGAAAACATTCCAGGATTTTCTCCATATAATGGACTTCAGTGGGAACCAAACGGTTCAAGGTCCAAAAGACAGTTTCAGTGTAAACTGTTCAAAGGGCTTCAGACAATGAATAAGGGTCTTATCAAGCGAAACAATCACTCATTTTAAAAAAATAACAAAGTTTAAGTTTTATAAGCTCAAATGGTCACCTTGCTCTGTTCTGTGATGCACGTTCGTGAGTCTCCTGTTCGAACTCGTTTATCAAAATGAAATCTTTTTTCGTGTCATTTGGTTCATTCAACGAATTAAATGAATGAGTTGACTCTGGAAAAGATTTGTTCATTTTGTTCGAACAGGAGAGTCACGAACGCGCATTACAGAACAGATCAAGGCGAGCATTTGAGCTTATAAAACTTAAACTTTGTAATTTTTTTTTTAAATGAGCGATCGTTTCGCTTGATAAGACCCTTATTCATCGTCTGGAATCGTTTAAAGCCCTTTGAACAGTTTGCAGTTTGCACTGAAACTCTCATTTGGACCTTGAACCGTGTGGTTCCCATTGAAGTCCATTATATGGAGAAAAATCCTGGAATGTTTTCATCAAAAACCTTAATTTCTTTTCGACTGAAGAAAGAATGACATGGATGTCTTGGATGACATGGGGGTGAGTAAATTATCAGCAAATGTTTTTTTTAAAGTGAACTACTCCTTTAAAGTGTGGACTTTTTGCCAGCAAATCGTACGTTTTCATAAAAATCAACGACAACTAGTACAAATGCGTATAAATGTGCCACACTGATTTCCTGTTACATTAATGAACATTTAAGCAGTTTTTGTCCTTTGAATGTTTTGTCAACACAGGCTTATGACAATGAGACACTTTTTGGGGACCCTCTTTCTTCACTAATTATAAAATAAGACTCGCTCACCCCCTGGTATAGCAGGAATAACCAGGCAAGCTGTGCCTCCTAGAAGCAGAACAACACTCTGGCAGATCCTCCTTCCGAAGCGCTGAATGAGAGGAAAGCAGGCCAGCCGCGCGGGAAACTCTGCAATGCCAAAGATCAGTTGAGTCAGGTAAATGTCCAGGCCGAAGTTCCCCACGTTCAAGCTGACTCCATAGTAAACCAGGCTCGTCACAAACCTACAATATTGAGGTTTGCAGTGAATGAATGCAGTGTCAATGGAAAAACGTGTGTATATGGTAAGTGCACTGTATCAAATGATTAATTGAAATGTTAGTACAGACATAGAGACCTAATATAAAGTGGGACCATTTTACGTTGTTGTTTTACATTCTATGAAAAAGTACACTTTAAAATAACTGGATGATGCACTTAATTAAAGGTGCAGTAAGCGATTTTTCAAAACAGAGTACCACAACAAACTTGTAGCCAATCAGCATTAGGGTGGAGGAAAGAGAGTGAGCCAATCAGCAGTAGGGGGCGTGTCCACTCATAATGGGGGAGGAGAGAGATTAAGCAAGTGGTAGATTTGAAGAAAGACTGTAGAAAGAGAAATGACAGAGACAATACAAAAGAGAAAATCTCAGAGGAACATCATTAGAAAAATAAGGGTTTTTATGATCAATGCTTCCTTGTTGTTAGTTAAATAATCTGTGCTGTATTTTTCACCTCACACACCAGTGATCACGGTTCGAGACAAGTTATGGACCAGCCTAAACGCATCCGAGCTGTAAAGTGTTTGTGAATTTTGCAGGTGGAGCAAAGGGAATTGGTTTGTATGGGTTGATTTCAAATATTACAACTCTGGAAGATCGCAAACCACACCTCTAACTGTGTTAATTAAAAATGAATGAATTCATTAAAAGTGTGGAATGTTGGACACTTCATACACTCAACTGTTGCAGCTTTAATAGCAAAGGGGCTAACTGTCAGAACTCACCACATATAGCACATGATGAGAGCTCTCTTTCTCAGGTAATCCACTCGGAACAGGTCTAGCATGGAGCCCTTTTTTACTGTGTTCTCCGCTTCCATCTGATAATGCATTATTTCATGTTAATTCATCATTTTTAATACATTCATTTAAGCAGGAAAAGCTCACTGAGAAAAAAAATCTCATTTACAGGAGTGTCCTGGGTAAGATAAGCAGCCTGAATTTGAAGTAGAAACATATATAAAAACAACAACCATTAAATGTACGGATTTTAAAGACCTACTTTCAATTGATACTGTATGAGAAGGCAAATGGGAGTGGATATGATCTGTTTATCAGCTCTTTTCTAAGACCAAACAAGGCTTGGCTATCTACATAGAGAAAGCAGTCACCTTGTCGAGCAGATTTTCGGGCACCTTCCTGCCATTGATTCGGGCAGCTTTCAAGATCTCTTTCTTGGCTCTGTCTTGCTTGCCCTGAGTCAGAAGCCATCGGGCAGACTCAGGGAGAATCCTGCCAAAAACATTGAAAACTGATTAGAAAATAAACAGAAATTGAATTAAAATATGTTAAATATTTCATCTGTATACTTGTCATGTGACCAACATCAGAATATGCAAACACAAAAAAATTGTGAATCACTGATATATAATCACACTAACCAGTAATAGATGCAGAAAAGCCCAACCGGTGCTGACAGAACCAGCTGTAAAATCCTCCAGTTTCGGATCCCAAAGGCCACACCGGACAGCAACATCAGGCCGACGGCATAACAGCAGTGCGACAATATGGTGAAAAGGGCGCGCTTGGCTGAACCGCACCACTCGGTACCTAAAACATGTTTGAAATACCATGATTTTTTTTTTTTTGTACAAACTTAAATAATAATCTGAGATCTAAACAGGTTTTATATGCATTTTCATAGCGATTTCTGTTGTTACAGGACGTTTGTTTTAAGTCAGCATGAAACAGAAGTTGCTATTTGTGATGTATACTTGAACAAGAAAAAATGTAGGGCGGGACTTAATCGGGAATTGACTGAATGATTGGATGGTTGTGGTTTGCTATTGCTGTGATCTCTTATGAGTGACGGGTTGATCGCATCCAAAATAAAAGTTTGTGTTTATATAATATATTTGGGTGCACTATGTATAATTATTTTGTGTGTGTGTATATATATATATATATAAATATAAATACACACACATGCATGTATATTTAAAAAAAATATTATTTATATATAAAATATTTATATATAATATAAATTATATCTAAATCTATATACAGTATATGGATGAAAATGTTTCTTTAATATATACAAGCATGTGTGTGTATTTATATATATATAATAATTATACACAGTGCATCCACATATATTATGTAAACACAAACTTTAATCGCGATTAATCGTTTCACAGCCCTAAATACATCATCAGAGAAAAGAAGAGATATCTATGCAAGGGGGAGGGGAAATTATGTTGATTAATGATAACGAGAGCACATGAATTGTAAAAAATAATGATGTGCGAGCCAAGGATAAAAAATGTATAATAAATACTGCAACAACAAAAAAAAGCTAATTTTGAATTCATGGTGACTTTAAAGCATGCGTGCACTGTAATGCACTTTCTACATGCTAATTATCTAACTTTTTAATATAGGCTACTGGCATTAAAAAGGAGTCATATGTGTTACCCAGAACAAACGTGTTCATGGTGATCCCTGATATTGTGGTGCCGACCACAAAGCGGAGGGCTATGTAGACGTAGATGTTGGGGGAAAATGCTACTCCCACCCCAAACAGAAACTGCAGGAACAAGGAGAGGAGCGTGACAAACCGCCGGCCATACCTGAGACAAGAAAACAAGTTAACCAGGACAGTTATGCAAGCACTCAAATGACTTAATATTTGACACAAAATATGGCCCTTTATTACTGATGGATGGGTTGTTAGATTAATCTGTGTTTTTTTTGGGGGAAAAACTCAACAATAATCATTATGTGTTTTATATCATTCTTATGTTGCTTGGACTCTACACGTACTTGTCTGCCATTGGCCCAAACAATAGGGCTCCAATAAGAAGACCAGCCATGTAGATGGACTGAGATGCCTCATTATAAATCTTATTTTCACACACCAGGTCAAACTATGATAAGATAAGAAAAGAAAACATGATAAATACAGTAAACAGATGCCAATGAAAATAATATGTATTGATTACAGTTTATAATAACTTTCAATTTTATGTAAAACATTAGAACATAATATACAAGTTTCTGTAAAGACACATAATTCGCGGCTACAATTTTTTGAAGATTTCGACCATTCGTTTCAAGGAAAAAAAGTCACTGTTCTTTCGTGATAAATATAGGGTAATTTGGATCAACTGAACCCGTCAAGTTAAATTTAATAGAAAAACTTATGAAACGAACAAAACTAAACTATTATCACGATACATGTATGCTTTTATTCTAAAAAGTGGCTAACATTCTGGCAAGGTGACCAAGTTATGAACAAAATTGCAGTAGCATTAATAAGAAAGTTTTTCAAAGTTATCTGGTCTTATTGTCATAAATTGTATTGTAATTTGTGTGTTGTGTTGTTATATGTGTAAGGCTATACTCTACACAAAGAATTGTCTTTGAGGACAATACAGTTAAAGTTGAAGTTGGTCTTCAAAAATGTTTTCAAAACGTTAGCACAAAAACATTATTTATTCGTTTTAGTTCAAACTATGTCCAAGGACGTCCAGATAACATTTTTCAGAATATTTAGAGAACATTCAAATGTAACATTCCCATAATGTTTGCAAAAATAAATAAATAAAATGTTTCCTTAAAAACTGGACATTTTTTAAGTTTAGAGAATATTTGGAAAAAGACATTTCCATAACTTAATATATATCAGCACAAGTTCTTAGCATTTTGTTAGCAGGTGCGTGGTGAAATATTTATTTTTATTTTTTTTTGCTTTATATTTTTATAGCCTTGCTGCTAATTAGAATCTAAAATAAAAGTTTGTAAATATGTCATATATCAGATATACATTTACATGTATAGGCTATACATTTATAAATTATGTTAAGTGCGATTAATCGATTTGACAGCACTTGTTTTTACATACAAGTATAAAAGTTTCACGCGTTTTCAAACGATTCGTACCCAAAAGTTAAATTAAGAGTTAGAAATTGCCTTTGAGAGGAGGTAACCATGGCAACAAACACTGCCATTACGTTATTACGGCTTTATTCATCACAAATAGAGTCGCAGGCTATAGGCCCATCACATAATTGTTCGAGTTTTTAAAGGGTTGCGCGAGACGAACTTTAAACATGCTAATTTTAACTCTTCTGAAAGACATTGAATAATAAGTGAATAGTCTATTATTAGGCCTAAATCTTATACCTAAGCGTTAAAAATGTAACCATAAAAGTTAAATATTTATGAAAAAAAATTATAGGCATAGGCTATAGCCGGACAATTAAGGACTACTTTTATAAAGCAATTTAAGAAAAGTCCAATAATGCACCACAGCTAAGCTATAGCCTATAATTATAATCTATATCAAAGTTCATACAGTATAGCCTACCTCAGTTATAAGAGTGCTGCTGTCTTCTGGTGCCTTATAAACCCATCCATCGGTACATGATGTCGTTTCGTTTATCCCATAAGCTTCAATGGCACCGAGATCCAGATCAACAGGTGAGAACATCTTACAGCTCTCATATTGTCCTTTGCTGTCCAGAGGGATGGTGAGGTTCAGCTGCTTCTCCTCTGTCAGGTTTGGAGCTAGCCGTAAGATCCAGCTGCTGTCGCAGTTATGTGGGAAGCTGATGGCGGTGAAGACCTGACTGAACATGTGGAAAGCCGTGAAGAGGTTGGGGAGGCATACCGCCACCAGCAAGCGTTTCTGAAACGCTCCAAACTCGCCGACGGACGACAGGATCTGCGCGAAGTCTATCATGATCACTGTGGGCCACCGTCAGCGGCGGCTCGCGCTTAAAACACCTGCACCGCGGATCCCACAAATTAATTTTTAAACGTGTCACAAGTTCAGCATATCTGCTCGCGCTCACTTATCTGTTACTGTCGATCAAAGATAAAGCACTTATTTATTTCACAGCGAGAATGACAGTCAGAAGACTTTAAATAATCATAATAATAAAGTACAATGTAAATTAGGCATAGGTGAATAAGCTGATTCCAATTATGTTAAAATGTTCTGAGAGGAGTAGCCTGCAGACAGTGTGTGTGTATGTGTGCGTGTCTGTGAGTGTGTGTGAGGGACTTTGGATCATGGGGCAAATGCAGTTACACTGGGGCCTTTTTGCTAGTGAATAAGGCGGTCTTCATATTGTGGTAATGTGTAAACTGTTGTGATGCTTGTGGGTTAAGCACAATATTTAGACAACAATGTAGCCTATATGTGTGACAAAGTAGCCACACTCTCAAGGGAAAAACAACAATCAGATGATTGTGACAGGACAAGCTATGTGACTAAATAAGTTCAAAGTGCCATTTAAATGCCATTGTGTGTACAGAACTTAATCATTTCAATGGTGAAAAAATGTATGTTTTCCAGATGTTTTTTTTAACAGGGTATAACCTGTCCTGAATGTGAGCCTTTTAATTCAATATTTAATGCTTGTTCTTTAGCTGCATTTCTATATGTAGCCTATTTATATAACAAAAAAAAAGATGTTTTTTTTTTTTTTTGGTATGAATCTGTGGAAAGCATATACAAATACATTGCCATATACAGTAACCAATCATAACCAAGACAGCATTTTAGACAAGTTAATTCTTTATTGATTTTAAAGTTTTTTTTTTAACAAGCTAAATCAAAAATAAAAGAGATATTATAAACTAAAGAAAAAAAGTCCTTTTTACTGACTGTTTTATTTTATTTTGTATTGCTTACAGCAGTGTTTCCCAACCCTGTTCCTGGCGACACACCAAAACTGAGCGTATTCTTTGTCTCCCTAATCAAACACACCTAATTCAACCCATCTGATTACGAGCTGATGAGTTGAATTAGGTGTGTTTGATGGGAGACAAAGAATACGCACAGTGTTGGTGTACCGCCAGGAACAGGGTTGGGAAACACTGGCTTACAGTAAACAGTCTGCCTACTACAATAATGGTCTGCATTAAGAAGAATCCAGGAGATTTGTGACTTTATAAAATGCATTTTACTAAGATTGAATATTATTGTTTATATACCATTTAATCATGTTGACCACAGATCTGCTGCATAGCAACCTCAATATTCAAAATATCTGAAGAAAAACTTTTCAAAAGCAAGCAATGTCAAAGCTTTATTTTACACCTCCTTTTATCTTTTGAATCTTCCCAATAAAACTGGAAAAAGTTTAAAATTATTCAATAATTAGTTAATATAATATATATATATATATATATATATATATATATATATATATACACGACCATTCAAAAGTTTGGAATCAGTAAGATTTTGTATGTTTTTTTTGTATGTATAAGTCTATGCTCCTCAAGGCTACATTTATTTGATTAAAAATAAATAAATTAAAAAACAGGAATATTGTGAAACATTCTTAGTATCTAAAATAACTGTTTTCAATTGTAATACATTTTAAAATGTAATTTGTTCATGTGATAGCAAAGCTAAATTTTCAGCATCATTATTCCAGTCTTCAGTGTCACATGATCCTTCAGAAATATGTGGATTTGCTGCTTATTAAGAAACATTATAATAATAAAAAATATGCTGAATATTCACATGAATAAATTATATTTGAAAATATGTGAAAATTAAAACATTATTATTATTATAAATACAATTTCAGGTTAACAATATAACAAATAAATGCAGCCTGGTTGAGCATAAGAGACTTTTCTTTTAAAAACATAAAAAAAGTGAACAACAGTGTATATATATATATATATATATATATATATATATATATATTAATATATGTGTGTGTGTTAAGATTATTCCAGGCTGTTCTTGCACAGGTAGCGATATGTTTAATGAGAAACAACCTCTCACATAAGTTCTAAGGAAAACAGACCTGCTGGAAACATCAGGCAAATAAAGGCCACCTAAGACCCCCCTACAGGCACCCTCAGACAAATAAGACAAACCAACAAAACTCACAATGTCTCTTTTGTAACCGACACCACCTCCCATCACCTCATTTATGGAGAACACAAAGGCCATGAGTGAAGCATCCTATATAAAATCAAACCAATGGCAAATTACATTATTTACATGTTCAATTGAAATCAGAAATACACATGAATACTTAAAGAGTTCAATAGCAGAACAGAAAAAACAAACAAACACCAAAGTTTCATCAGGTACCTCACGTACGTCTACCTTTTTCAAAAATCAAACTCTTAAAAAATGAGCAGAAGTGACAAAATTTAAAACCAAAATGCACAAATTCATGTGAAATCTAAAAAAGGGAGATATGGTTGATGCAAATGTGTAGAAACATTAAGGCAATAACTTTTAGAGCAGCGTGGGATAGTAACATTTGCAAATGTGCCCTGTTGAGACAGCACAGCACACACGCACACACACAAATAAAATAAACAAGGAAAAAGCAGCAAAATAAACCAGCTTTTAGGGGGGTTCGTCGAGGCTCAATGACACCGAATAGATCATTTATTATCTGAAATAAAAGATATTGTACTTTGAAGAAATCAGACTCTCTATACAGTATAACAGGCGAGAATGGAAAACTTGTTTTTGGGCTGAATTTCTAAACCAGATTCTGTAAATGTTCATCAAGCTGGTTTAAACAAACCCCAGTAAATAATACAAGCGGTTTGATAAAACACGCTAGCTGCTTCACTTTAAAGGCGTAGAAAAAAAATACAAGTAAAAAAAAAAATGCTATAGCTACTGCAAACCCATTCACTCACTTCCTCTATTAACACCATGTTTCTTTGCGTTCATTCTCCTCATGCACACAGTTCTTATATTAGAGGCATTTTTACATTTCGTTTTTTGTGTGTCAGTTCAGATTGTGCAAAAATAGAACAAACATAGAAAGAAAAAAGAGGAAAAGAAAGAGAAACATTAAAAGAGCATTAAGGTTATATCTGCTTATGATAATTGCATACTTAGATGAATCAATCGTAAACTTTATTTTAAAGGATTGCTACAAATTGCGATCTTTGTGCAACTCTGCTGTGGGCCATTTAAAATCCTATGGGGCTGCGCAATGGAACTTTTCTCTTTGGCAACAGTGGTTTCTTGGGGGCAATTGAAAAAGGAAAAAGTATCAATGTGTCATTCTGTTGGTAGTGTTGGTTTGTTTTCACATTTGTAGGCAAGTCATGGTCCCCGCACAGAGCCAAAGTTTAGTTAATGCTAAGCTGAGCAAATCCCAAGAGTTTGACATCATCGGGAATCTCAGAGCCTTCAACACCAGATGCCTGGAAAACACCACGCATGACGTGTTACCGCAACACACCATTACGGATTTAGGGCCCGTTCACACCAAACTAACTATATGAGCGTCCAGGTAAAGCAGGATGAACTCTGATTGGCTGAAAAAATGGTTCTGAAAGTGATTCCAATGAAAGCCATTGTAGTTATAGTGGTGTGGACTCTGTTATTCTTGAATGATTTTTATAACTCTATCTTTATCGTTCTTGATGTGAACGGGCCTTTACACAAAGTGGGTTTAACTGAACACACACTTACCAGTCTAAATGTGACATTTTTATTGGAATGAGGCTCTTCAACTATCTTCTGCAAATTAGCAGCCACTGAAATGACAGAAAACAGAAGTTTAGGACTAAAACCATGATTGTTTTTATGCCTTTAAGTTTTATTTGACATTTTTAAATGATTTGAAATTGCAATTTATTTTCTTCACACATAACATCACCATTTTTCAAGCAGCTTAAACAGATGATGATTTTAGTAAAAGTTATAGTTAAGAATTTTTTTGGAATTCTAATAAAAGTATTTTTTAATTAAAAAAAAAAATTTATTAACATAACAATTAGAGTAAAAACTGATTATTATAGCAGGATTTATAAAAACAAATATATTTTTAAAACTGGAAAAAAAATATTATATTGTATTTGGTCAAAACAGTAAAAACAGTAATATAGTAAAATATTACAATCTAAAAATAACTGATTTCTATTGTAATATATTTGTCATTTATATATTGTGCTGCTCAATATTTTTGAGGAAACCGTGATACATTTTTTTCAGGATTCTTTGATAAATAAAACAACTTTAATACAAAATATATATTATAAATGCTTTCACCTTTGATCAATTTAATACTTTCTTGCTCAATGAAAGTTTAAATTCCATAAAAAAAACCTTACCTATAACTAAATCTCGCCCGTCTACCAAGCCAGCCGATACCAGTTCCTGAGAAACCCCATCTGCTGTGTCTACAAAAACAGAGAAAATGAATGTGATGCATTTATTCCACTTTAAAATGATTAATTTAGAGCATCAAACTTTGATCATGGAAAATTGCAACATCCTGGATATTTGAACTGACAGGGTTGTAGATCCTCTGACAACTTAACTGCACACATCATGCTTACACACTGTAGTCAGTACAGACAGCAGAATGAAGACGTGTTCAGGCAGAAGAACATTCTCACACAGGCCGGCTATGTGCATGTCACTAAATGTTTTATTTTGGGAAAATTCCCAACGTGACTGACAAAACGCAGATGCGGCAGGCTCTTTGACATCTGATGGGGTAGAAAAATGATGCTCTTGCTTTGCTTGGGCCTTTCTGCTGGAGGGCAAAAGACTGAGATAAACAGGAACTGATTCTAAAAGGGTGTTGTATTGATCTTTACAGGCAAAAAACATTGGACAATAGAATTACCCAAGTGTGACGTAAATCGTACTGATTTGAGATGTTCACCGCCCTTGACAAATGTGACAACAGTCAACCATAACATTCAGTGTTTTTTCAAAAGAGTTGTGGAAAAAATCATTCAGTTTGGTCTGGACAATATACATCTACTGTATATTAAAGGGATACGCCATCTAAAAATGTGAGGGACTAATTTTATTGACTCACAGAGATGGATTATTTTTCTAAAAGTATTCATTTATGTTCATCTGAGGAAAGAATGTTCATTGGGCTGAGAAAATTATGAGAGAATTTTCATTTTAGGGTGGAATATCCTTTTAAGAGTGTATTATGTGGATTTATTCAAGTACAATCATACTATGTATGCCATGTGTCTTTATGCTCTTACCCCTGCCAGGCATGAACTCAAATCGGATGTCATTCAGTTCCTTTTTCAAATTTCTGTAGGACAGAAAAAATTCAAGTCATCTCCTGCTCCTGTTTACACTTTTAATAATAAAGGCACTTTATCAGCATTGATGATTCTATGGAGAACCTTTAACATTAATAACCTTTCCATTGCTCCAAAGGTTCTTTATATTGGAAAAATGTACTTGAGATTATATAAATGTTCTTTACACAAACCAAAATGGTTCTTCTATAGGCATCGCCACAAAGATCAATGAATGACTCTGTGGTAGGGGGGCGTGGTTTTCGCGGCGTATGTAGTGAGAGACGAGTCAATGAGCTGCGCGGAGAGTAAGTCGGTCAAGTGCAAATGATGAACAGCTGTGTCTATTTGCAGTGATTGGAGCGGGGAGACCGTAAAAGCCGCAGACTGGGAGAGAGGAGGAGAGAGATCGGGGAGCTTGTGTGAAGCTGTGATCAGCGGGACGAGTCTGTGTCCGGGACACCTGCAAAAGCTGTGTACAGCGGGAAAGAGTTTATGATTGTTTTACTTCTGAGTTTTCTGTGAAGAGCGCTGAGGTGCCGTGGAAAGAGATATAAAAATAAAAACACACAAGCTCCTCTATTCGCCGACCCTGTCTCCTTCTTCCCCCTTAACTGAACCTTATTACACTGGTGCCGAAACCCGGGAAGAAGGAGACTGCCGTCGTCATGTCGAGCCCGTCAGGATCACCGTTTACGGAGATTATTCAATCACTCGCGGCCATGCAGAGGGAACAACATCAAGCCCTGCTGTCCTTCAAGGAAGAACACGAGCAGCGCTTCCAGGCGCTGCTTCAAGGACAGCAGGAGGACCGCGAGTTGTTCCGGAGCCGTTTCGACCAGGGGGCTGCGGCCACCCCCGCTACAACATCGGCCGCGGCGCTCTCGTTGTCAAGGATGGGTCCCCAGGATGAACCGGAGGCGTTCCTGGACCTGTTCGAGAGGACAGCCGAGGCCCGGGGGTGGCCCGAAACAGACTGGCCGCTGCGACTCATCCCACTCCTATCCGGGGAGTCACAGCTCGCCGCCCACCAACTGCCAGTCTCCAGTCTCCTGGTCTACCAAGATCTACGGCGCGCCATTCTGCAGCGGGTCGGCGGAACAGCATCGTCAGCGGTTCCGTTCCCTGACTCTGGAGGAGGCCGGTCGGCCCTTCGTGATGGCGCAACAGCTCCGGGACTCCTGCCGTAAATGGCTGATGGCCAAGGGAAGTGACATCGAGACAATCATCGACCAGGTGGTACTGGAGCAGTTCATCACGAGGCTTCCCAAGAAAACAGCTCAATGGGTCCAGTGCCACCGTCCGACGTCGCTGGACCAGGCCATCCAACTGGCGGAAAATAACATGGTGGCGTGCTCGGGGGTCGGCGAACCCCTCCCATCAGCCTCTCTCTCCCACTCTTTTTTTCCCCCTCCCCAGTCTTTCTCTCGTCCCCCTCTGCAAAACCTATCCCTTCTCCCAGGTCTCGGGGTGCGCCACGATGGAGACCCGGCGGGCAGAGGGACTCCCCGTCGGCCGGGAGGATGACGGAGAGGGGGACACCTGTTGGGGGATTCCCCTCCCCGGCTCCGGTCGTTGCGCTCTCCCCACACCAATCCCTTGCCCCACTTCCCGCCGCTGGGACAGCGGGAAAGCCCGGGCCGGCCTGTTGGCGCTGTGGGGATCCGGGACACTTTATCGATCGGTGTCCGGTGATTGAGGTGGGGACGCTGGTCTGGGTCCCCGACGCGCCAAGGGCCACCCCCGATCAAGCTGGCTTGTACCAGATACCCGTGAGCTTGATCGGCTTGGATTTGACAAAGGGCTATTGGCAGATCCCCTTATCTCCAATAGCCAAAGAAAAAACAGCTTTTACCACGCCGTTTGGATTACACCAATATGTCACGCTTCCGTTCGGATTGTTCGGGGCACCGGCGACTTATCAGCGTTTGATGGACAGAATTCTCCGGCCGCATGCTGCATATGCCGCTGCTTACTTGGATGACATCATCATCTATAGTAATGATTGGCAGCGTCATATGCAGTATTTGCGTGCTGTCCTGAAAACGCTGAGAAGAGCTGGGCTCACGGCCAACCCGAAGAAGTGTGCAATTGGGCGGGTGGAAGTAAAGTACCTGGGGTTCCACTTGGGACATGGACAGGTGCATCCCCAAATTGATAAGACGGCTGCAGTTGCAACCCGTCCAATTCCGAAGACCAAAAAGGAGGTTAGGCAGTTCCTGGGGCTAGCGGGATATTATAGACGGTTTGTACCTAACTATTCGGACCTCGCTAGCCAGATAAAGGCTGCTCTGTGCGGCGGCCCGCTTTTGCGTACTCCTGACTTTTCTCTCCCTTTCATCCTACAGACGGACGCGTCGGACAGGGGTTTGGGCGCGGTCCTGTCCCAGGAGGTGGGGGGGGGGAGGAACGGCCGGTGCTGTACATCAGTCGGAAGCTTTCGAAGAGAGAGACGATGTACAGCACCATTGAGAAGGAGTGTTTGGCCATCCGGTGGGCTGTCCTCACCATCCGTTGCAGGCCGGACAGTTCCCCGGCCTGAGTCGGGCGGTGGGGGTATGTGGTAGGGGGGCGTGGTTTTCGCGGCGTATGTAGTGAGAGACGAGTCAATGAGCTGCGCGGAGAGTAAGTCGGTCAAGTGCAAATGATGAACAGCTGTGTCTATTTGCAGTGATTGGAGCGGGGAGACCGTAAAAGCCGCAGACTGGGAGAGAGGAGGAGAGAGATCGGGGAGCTTGTGTGAAGCTGTGATCAGCGTGACGAGTCTGTGTCCGGGAAACCTGCAAAAGCTGTGTACAGCGGGAAAGAGTTTATGATTTAATGTTTGTTTTACTTCTGAGTTTTCTGTGAAGAGCGCTGAGGCACCGTGGAAAGAGATATAAAAATAAAAACACACAAGCTCCTCTATTCGCCGACCCTGTCTCCTTCTTCACCCTTAACTGAACCTTATTACAGACTCCAAATATAAGAACAGCAAACACAACTTACCTTAACCTTAATACTAAGCTGATGGGGGACTGGGGGGCATCATCTCCAGGAACTGGGGCCTACAGACAGAGACAGAGATGGTGATGAGGAGCATCAGCTTAATTTTTTATAAACCTAATAACTGAGTGTAGAAATGCTTGAACAGCTAGTGTACCTGCGCAGGCTGTGTAGGGGTTGTAGTGTGTTGAGTGTTGGCCGGGCCCTGGCCAGCAGCTTGAGGTATTTCAGGCTGGAGGTGACTGCTGAAAGGCTGGAATATCTGAAAATACATGCATAGAGCCACACATACATTTAGTAATTGCGTTATAAATACATATTTAAAAAAAAAAATCCAAAATCAAAATAAATAGTACCAACATTAAATGAAATGTCTGGAATGGAATACTAGTTTACTATTTAGTGGATGCTGTGGAGTGAGCACTATTCTTAAAAAAATAAATAACAGAAGGTATTATTGCACTATAAATGTAAAGAATATTGTATAAACAGCATGTGAGTGGCATCGAGTTGTAGCTTGTGAAATAAAAAGATTATTTTGCCCATTTTACACCAGTTTTATTTAAGAATAATTGTAATTTAAATCCTTAATACTGTCATACAAATACAGCAAAGCAATTGAATTACATTTTACAACATAGATTATTTAAACAGTAGATTATTTAAATATTTCATGCATACAAAAAATGCATTATATGACAATTATGCATAGTACACACAGCAGGAATCACAAGTATGGTAAATTAGTATGGTAGTAATGGTTTACATACCTCTATATTCTGGAGTCCTTCTCTTACTCTTGGTGACTGTGTGAGAGAGATAGAATGGGCAAAGGTCAAAGTCTCTTGTAAACATATATATTTGTTTGGGTTACTGTAATTCAGCGTTGGATTTAAACACACTGTAGTAAGGAATGAAGCAGGGAGTTAAGGCCCTTCATGAGTATTTCATTTGACACATTTGCTATGATTCTAAATACACATTTCATAGCTTTTGTATAATATCCTTCAAGAATTCAAGGACTATTGGGATTGTTTTGAAATATGCAAACAAATTTAGAGTTTATATCCACAATATCTGCTTAGAAAATATTATATTCAACAGTATGCACTTCATCCAAAGAATTCTCCCCCACCCACCACCAGAAAAAACAAAAAACAAAAAAACACACACTTAAACTGAGTTATATTCAGACTTACACTGGCGTTTAAATGTTTAGGTAAGGATTTATTCATTTATTTAAAAAAAATTGAAAAAAAATTATTCAGCTATAATGTATTCAATTAATCAAAAGTGTCAATCAAAATTAATCAAAATACATTTTTAATGGTTTAAAAAAAATAATTCAGCGTCAGCTTTGCAATGACAGGTATAAATACAAATTTTAAAATATATTAAAAACAAAACATAATTCATAATATTACTAGGTTTACTGTATTTTTAATTAATTAATAATTTTTTTGATAAAATAAATGACTAATTTAATGAAACTTAACTAATAAAATGTTTTCACAAACCCTAAACTTTTGAACGGTAGAGTACATAATGATATGACATCATATCTAAGGTATTTGGCCATATAACTAGTGACCAAACTGGGATCCAAAAATCATTTAAAGACCAGAAGTAGCCATATTGCATGTTAGTGCCTCAATCAGCAGAAGTCTGTTAAACAGAATTTGCTTGATTATCAAAGGTCATTGATTTGGTCAGTTTTTCAAAGTTGTAAATAAAAAACACAATACAGATGGCGTCCAGGAAGCACACATCATCACTATTCAGTCAGTTTCTGTTTTTTCTAGCAAGAATTGTTACACTTTTTTTTTGCTTTACCCAAGTTTAATCCTTGAGATTAGAGTGAGTGTTCAAGCTTAAGTAGCCATGTAAGTAGACATTTCAGTATTTGTGTGATCTCAAAACGCACATACAAGCTATGCAGGGCATACAGAACAAAAGTTATCTTAAGAAGCGATCAAAATGCTTTCATACTGTACATGATTATTTCTTGCATAGATAAACAGATTATCACAGACAGATGAAGGTGCAATGGTCATCCTTAACCAACCAGAACTCTAGTATCTTTATTGTCTTATAACAATAAAGCTGGATAACAAGAATATCAGCAGATACTGTATATTATGCTCTCTGAACAAATTCACTTCCTCTTTATCTAGCACTTCCTACACGTCCAAAATGCTGTGTTTGACTGAGTGTGCTTCCTTGTTAAGGTGAGCCATCTGTATTAGTGGGAAAACTGAACAACCCTGGGTGGGGGCAGCTCAAGAGGTTGAGAGAAACGGACTTGTCGCCTTGTCGACTTCGACTGCTGCTCCTTTAGCGGCAAACAAAAGACACAGAGCCCAGGGATGAGAGGTGCACAACAGCAACACCTTTACAAATACCACAGACAAACAAAGAGTGCAAACAACCAGTGCTGAACCACTGCAGAGAGAGGGTGTGTGTGTGTGTGTGTGTGTGTGTGTGTGTTACCCGTAAGGCAGCAACAGCAGCTCTGCCCTCCTCACTCTCCTCATCCAGTTCATCATCGCTCCATTCCCACTCTCCATCTTCTGTTTTATGGAGTCTCCCACTGGAGCCAGGAACTCGCCGTACCTACACACATACATATATGTTTATACAGACATGCGTATAGAAGAGCAAAATATGTTTAGGTTTATTTATTTTTTTTTAATTAAAAGTTAAAACAAATCTGATTTAATATTTAAATTACATTTATAATTATTAATTAAATGTATATTTATATATATTTAAAAAAAGAATCAAAATGAATACATTTAATTATCTGAAATTCTAAATATTTTTGTGAATATTCTTTATTGTCCCTAAAAAGATTTTGATTTGTGCTGCTGTAAATATACATACAAATTGGCTAAATCGTCATAATACAGTATATAAAACTGAGCAGTATATAGTAAAAATACATAGGTCACAATAGAGCATGGTAAAAATTAAAACATAAAACACTAAAAATAATAATAAAACATTTTCCTCACCTTTCTCGCTCTCTCTGTAATTGTAGGTGCTCTATGTAATAATTTCTCCTGCAGGAATTCATTATTCTGCCAAACAAAATGGAACAGTAAGATAAATATTATTCTAAATTATGCAAATAACCACCAATTAGGGTTGAATTACAAAAGTGCTGACATTCAAAATCAACTCCAGCCCCCTACTGGGCATGTGTGGTAACATCTGAGTACTGAAAGCTGGAAGGAGATAAAACTGGCTTGATTCGAATAGTAAAAGGGAAATCCATTTAGCAGAGAGTTTATCAGCCAGTTGGAAAAGGATGCTGGGATGCTCATCCCTGCTTTTAGACACCGATATGACGGGCCAGTAATGACAAGAATGCTGGACTGAACTCAATAACGATTCATTTACATTGAGGGAGTGTACACAGACACACACACATCGGAAATTGCAAAGTCTTCTGTTGTATTTATAAGAAGCTAGTTATAAATGCTATATCCTAACCCTAACAGACAACTTTCTGCATTTTTACAATTAAAATAAACATTGTATTTAATTTATTTTTATGCCATTTTCTTGCAAAAGAGGTTTTCCCCGAAATGAGGTTTTGGGAGACTTCTGAAGGATCATTACACACTTGTACTGTGCCACGTCAATGATATGAAAAGATAAAAAGTACCATAAAAGTATAATTTAAAATGTATTTGTGTAACATGAAATTTAAGTCGGTATGCATTAGAATTCAAATATGGTGTGAAAAGCTATCATAAGATTAAACTTTATTTTACAGTAAATGTACTTACCTAAGAAAATGCTGGGTAATATAAGTAATAGGGCTGCAACTAACGATTATTTTGATAATCGATTAATCGGACGATTATTTTTTCGATTAATCGATTAATCGGATAAAAAATTATATTCCATTTTTTTGTTTATTATAACAAAATAAAACCCTAAAAACCACACTCTTTTGTGTGTTAAACAATCTACTTAATACAGACAACTTCATTATAAAGAGAAATAACAAATAAAATATATATATATGACCATAACCTATGACAAAAATGCTATTGTAAACTAGATTAGTGGATAACTCAGCAAAACTTAGCCTAGAAATATCACAAGTGCACAATAATTTTATAAAATCTGAACATTTAGTGAAAAAAAAAAACATTCCTTAGTGGGGAACAAATAAGAGACAATAAGTGTAGCACTAACAATGGTAAAACGTACACATTGCTCTTTGTATTGTTGTTATACATTCATGAAAAACATCGTAAAAATCAGATGCACAAGTTCAACTGTTTTAAATGTAAAGCACAGCTGTTTAGTGAGGAAGCAAAATATAATAGATAGGACAGAACAAGAAAGGCTATTAATAAGCTTTCATTGCGCAAAAGTATTATGACATGATCATGAAAGAGCTGCACAAAGTGCTTATGCTCATCGCGAGCGCGGAATGAACACGGAGTCACAGGGCGGCGCGCAGTTCTTCAGTGTCCGCCGCATTAAGCACCAAGGAAAGAGAAAGACATATTGACTGTGTATTACACAGTATCTATGCAATAGTTTATTAAGACTTTTCTTTTAACAGTTTTAAATTTCAGTTAGGCTACTGTGCACGTGAAGAACAATTATACTGCGCCGACTATATAGTGTTGTGATCTAACAGACACTCAGTAGAAAGTGATTAAGTTACAGCAATAAAAGTCTAGCAAGATAGAAAAACCATCATAGACCTTTATCTACGGATCAATTATAATAATATCATTGAATCATCTTGGAAAGAGATCATCATGTGTTAACTGTTGTAACGCGACGGGCTGTTTGAACACCGAATAGAGAATGACTGACAGCCGCAGTGGAGGGAAAAGCTTAGGTTAACTTGAATTTAATGACTTAAATATACATTTCTATCTCACATTATACTATAGTATGGCTTCATAAAGTATACACGATTAACGTAGGTCACCTATTTTGGTTTCAAAACGGCGAATTTACCGAAAGGTGAATGATTTTCGTGTATGCTGCATATTGATAGCGGTTTCCTGATGCCCGCAAATTAGTTCAAACTCACGGAATCAAGAGCGCGCATGCGAGACAGAAGATAATGTGCTCCAAACCGTCCGTGTTGCGCGCGCGAGACAGGGAAGAGCGGCGAGGGAGAGAGAGACTGCGTGTGCGCCTCATGAAGCGCATGTAAGAAGCGCATGTTCCATGTAAACAATCCCCGTGACGTAATCAGACCAACTAATCGATAATGACATTCGTTGACAACGATTTTCATAATCGATTATAATCTATTTTATCGATTAGTTGTTGCAGCCCTAATAAGTAACTACAGGGGTTAGGTTTTAGGTGTAGGTTCAGTGTTAGTACCTAGTTATTACCCAGTCATTGTAATTACTGTGATAAGTATGAACATGAACAGAACTGTAAAATAAAGTTCTACCATCATATTACATAATGCTTTTTTGTTGTTTGGAGCTTGACAGTGGTCACTGGGGACCGTTGTTGTATGAAAAACATTTCCTTTTGTGTTCCATGAAAGAAAGAAAGTCATACAAGTGTGGAACAACACGAGGGTGAGTAAATGATGACAGATCGCTCCGACAACTATCCCTTTAAGATTTACATAAAAAAAAACATGGAACAATAAAATAAACCCAAAACAATGTCCTGAAAGTAAGATTCTTACCTTGGCTTTCTGGAAGAATTTATGTTTTAAGAGTTCTGATGATGTTGGCCTAAAAAGCAAACACTATTGAAATATATTTGTTGTAACTTGAAGTGTTATCAGGGAATATCAACATTAACAGTCACTAAAAAAAATCCTGATTAAAATGTTTTACTTAAAAAGTGTTTAAAATCATAAAATCATATCAGCCAAATGAAATCGGTTTCATTTTACATTGAGCAGGTAGTAGTGGCTGCCAGGCTGAATATTACTGAACATATATACATACAGTACTGTTCAAAAGTGTGGGGTCAGTAAAAAAAAAAAAAAAAAAAAGGATTTTAACTTTTAGTCATCAAGGATGCATTCAATTGTTAAAATGTGACACTAAATATATTACACTATTACACTATAGCACTATTACAACTATAACAAATAATGTTCTTTAAAACTTTCTATTCATCAAGGAATCCTTAAAAAAATATATATATGTATGTATAAATGTGTGTAAAAAAATATATATATATATATATATATATATATATAAAGCCTCTAAGTGCCATTTGAAATTTTCTTTTACAATTGTCATTTTTATCAAGCTTATATATGAAGAGTTCAGTAATTTCACTTAAATGACAATTAATAGGTAATGCTCATTGCAATTTAAGTGAAATTACTGAACTTAAATATACAAGCTTGATAAAAATGATCATTCTAGAAGAAAATTTCAAATGGCACTTTGCATCTGAACTCTTCACATATATATGTAAAAATATATAAAAAAATATACACATGAAGTTAACAATGATAATAATAACAACCACCAAAAAAAGTTTTTTGAGCACCAAATCATCATATTAGAATGATTTCTGAATGATCATGTGGCACTAAAGACTGGAGTAGTGATGCTGGAAATTCAGCTTTGATTACAGGAATAAATTACATATTAAAATGTATATAAATAAAGCTTGTTATATTTAACAATATTAGTGTTTTATCAAATAAATGCAGCATTACTGAGCATATTAGAGAATTATCAAAAACATTTCAAAAAGTCTAACTGAGCCCAAACATTTGAATGGTAATGTATTTTTATCCCACGACCCCACAAGAACATAGCGGCTCTGCTCAGCACCTTTTCTCTGGCTCCTTCTGCAAACACAACGAGAGCATCTTCCTCAAGGATTTCCCATATTTCTTCACCATCTCTTTGTCCGTGATTCCAGTCTCAAGGCAAGGCGGATCATTCTGCAGGGTCAACATCAACACCTGCAAACACACACAGATCTCTGAAACGCCAACATGCTATAAAACAACATGTTTCTCATTAAGAGTGATGCAAGACTGAGTCATTAGAGCTCGTATGGGACTGTATCTCCTGCTCCTCACCTTCATAGGAGGGTATTTGTGGTAAGGAGCGGAGCCTGTAGCCAACTCGATGGCTGTGATCCCAAAACTCCAGATGTCGGCTTTGAAGTCGTAACCTTTCACCTGCACACACAGTCACAGATTTGTTTAACACGAGATATACATCCATATGCCAGCAGTTACTGACAATTTTACACCACATTGAAGTCTTTAGACTTCATAAGAGCTTTAATTGTCCGTGTAATTCAGTCCATATACAGTGAGGTACAACAGTCTGAGACTAATAGTGAAAATGCGCCTATTTTGCATTATTCTAACTGAATCTCCGTGTGATCTCAGGTCTCTTCTTCACTGGAATCAGAGTTTGCATGTCATTCGGTTTTATGATGTTAAATAAGCAGTGTGTGAGTAAAGAAAGTGGTTGTAGGGTGGAAATACTTACTTGCTCCATCACCTCAGGGGCCATCCAACATGGTGTTCCCACAAACGTCTTCCGCACTTTATTTCGAGTCATGTCACCACCAGTGGCTAAGAAGGCACTTACTCCAAAATCTAAAGAAATACAAACAAAATCACCACAAACAACAAAATCACCACAAATAAATATATTATCAAATAAGTATGTGTTTTTGTCTAATTAGCGAGTAAGTAATCTTAATGTCTAATAAGCAAGTACTTTATCTCTCAGTGTTTACAATTACAATTAAATTCAATGCGACAACTTACAGAATGGGCACTAAAACATTGCACTTAAAAATAAAAAATAATAAAAATGTAAGTTAAAAATAATAAAAAAAAGTATTCAGAAGTATACAATCATTATAAAGTTTGAGTTCTGTATGTTTTTAATTTGAAAGAAATTAATACTTTTATTTAACAATTTAACAACATTAAATTGATCAAAAGTGAAAGTAAAAACATTTACGTTTGTAATATCATTTATTTAACCCTCTATGGTACGCAATATGATATTAGTGAGAAAAAAAATATTTGTTATGTTTTTCCTGCTTAAAATTGGACACTATAACAATATCAATAAACATTATCATTATTTTTAAATTTATTTCTTAATTAAAAGTTTGTTGCCTCAAGGCAACATTGTACCACAATGGACAAATTGAAACGTTTGACGTTTTCATGAAGAAAAAAATTATAGATTTATTGAAAACATCAATTGATTTAACTAAACACTTGAACAAACCTATTTATCAAGTCTTTAATGAATTACACATTTCATATTTAATAAAAAGTAACATTTATTATCCAGCTCTTGCCCTCAATCACCTTTGATCAATTTAATGCAAGATTTTTATGTCAAATAAATTTTATTAATTTTTTTTAAATTAAAAATAGTTTCCACAAAAATATTTAGCAGGTGAACGTATTGTTTCAACATTAATGAGAAATGTTTCTTGAGCAACAAATCAGCATATTAGAAAGATTTCTGAAGGATCATGTGACACTGAAGACTGGAGTAATGATGCTGAAAATTCAGTTGACATCACAGGGCTAAATCATGCTTTAAAATATAGTTCATTTAAACTGTAATAATATTTATTTTTTTCATTATTATTATATTCGTTAAACAGAAAGTTGGCACCTGCGATTTGCACTGACCCGTCCTCCCCCAGCAGGATGTTTCCAGCTTTAAGGTCCCTGCAGACAAACACAGACACGACACAGATGAATACATATGTGGATCGCACTGGTCAGACAACAGTTTTGTGAAAAAGTATAATAATAAAGACCTATTTAAGGGGGATTCAACCAGAATGAAATGAGTGCAATATGAGTGCATGATGTTTCTGTATGTAGCTGGTAGTGAGAGCAGGATCCAAACATCTGTGGTCATGGTGACGAACTCCTTGCAAACAATATGAACGCTATATCTGTCCCTCTGCCCTGTGTTTAACACTAAAAGCCAGCAGACATCTCCTCTGCTCCAGAACTGATGATCAAGTCATGTGTGTGTTTGTGTAACACCGAGTTCGAGATTTATACTTCAATCCAGGGAGAATCTGCACTTTTGCTTCACTGCAAAAGTAGAGTGCGTTTTCTATCTAACTGGCAAAGCTGGGACTAATTAGGAGACTAATGAATGCTTCATTGGATATTCTTGAGAATAATTAATGTTTACAGAAATGTTTTATGATACTGTAGACATTCAGGTTCTGTGTCCTAGTATATAAAGTCATTTCAGTGTGCTGTGCCTGGGGGGAAAAAATATAAAAAATTGACCAGCCAAATGCTGTCGCTGTTGAAATGTTGTAAAGTTAGTAAGCAAAATCACTCTTGCAATATTCGTTGGATATTCAGAACTCTTGTGAGATATTATATTTAAGCCTTAATATGCCAGTGGAACCCATAAGAATATATTTAACATGATTCAATTCAGTTCACATGAACGTTTAACTCACATGTTTATTCATTTTGATGTATTACTTTCATTATTTATTATATTATTCATATTTATTATTACAATAAGTGCTCTATATATATATATATATATATATATTTATTTATTTATTTAAAAACTTTTATGTTAAATGATCGTGAATTATAATAATAATTTTAATTTCTTGCTTTATATGTTACTGTCCAGCTGGGGGCAGCAGAGATACGAACTACACTGAAGATGAAGAAAGTAAATTAACTTTTGAACATAATAAGAACTTTGTTTCTGTTATCATAACAGTCACATTCTCTTGCCATGATGTTATGCAATTATGCGCTTCAGGGGTGCAAAACCATAATTGCAACCTTTCTGCAGTATGAGCCCCCGGCACACACACACACACACAAACACATTCTGAGAGGTCCCAGTTATTCTCTCCTGCTGGGCAAATCAAAACATACTAACACATGTCCACTCCAAACTCATGCACATTGAGAGGTGTTCTTGAAGAAGAGTAAAAGATGTTTGGAGACTATTAAAGTGGTGGGTAACACTCCTGCTGTCTGTGAGTGTGAGCACAGCTGATAATCGCTCACATATTTATCAGAAAGGGCACTGAGAAGAGAGAACATATCTGATTGGGAAAATAGGATATAAATATTGAGGAACAAGATGCAGTGAACATGATATGATATGTGGTTTATCTGTGTGTGAACGGTACAGAACACTGTATTTACAACACATATGTATAATTATGTTTTTTTTTTTTTCAATCACAGGCATATTTATAAGGCCGGGGCTGAAGCTGACCAGATTTCTGTTGCTATTGTAAAGCAATTATTATTTATTATCACTTTTAAATGCAAGATTAAAATGGTAATTATTTTATTAAAACAATTATATATACAGTTGTGGTCAGAATTAATGGCTATTCTATTATAAGAAAAGTAAAGTTGGTTAACTTTCTGTAGTAAAAATATTTGTAATAGTGGCCAGGCCATACTCTACCGAAGTAAACATTACTTTAATTTCAATATTCAGCCACGGGGGCTATACCAAAGTATCTTTGATTGTGTAAGCGTGAATGCGACCGATGTCATTCCTGTCATTAGCTTCACAAGTACACATGCTAGAAGAGCTTTGGTAGAGGGCACGTTATATGCAGTACTAGGCCGTTTTATGGCAGACTTACTGGCCGATGTTCATCATGTTTGTGCACTTGGCTTGCGTGCATGACCTTAAAGCTTTTACATAATTAATACTATTATATAATTGACCAATAACCAGTTGGTAATCTAACCTAAATGCGAGGTTGTGTTAAAATGGAGTCAGATGGTCAGATAAAAGCTTAAATGGAATTAAATTACTTTGCCATGCGGAAAGACAGTAACGCGCAGAGACCTTCACCCGTTCTATTGGATGCCCCCATTGGGCCGATCTAGACGGGCTTACAACTGTATATATACATAATATAGTATATTATATATTGTATTTGTCATTTGTAAGTCACTTTGGATAAAGGTGTGTAACAAGCAACATAAGCATTATTTATTATTACTACCACCACTAAAGCAAATGAGTTTGCCACTTAATTGTAAAATAGTTTAAAAATGTTGTTTCAATCTGCATCAACTATGACAGATGTTTCTTGGGGAGTTTTTTTGTATAAGTGCCAATTCATATTTTATCTTACAAACTTGAAAACTTGGAGGACAAGGAAGCCTTGGAAGATTATTAAGGGAATGATAATCATACTACAGTGTTCAAACCTCCCAGAAAGCAACTGCATCACCATATAAAACCCAGATGGTACTAGGCAATCCAAAGAATGTCAGAACAAAAGCGGAATGGTTTCCCGAGATCTAAGCGATACAGATCTCTTACAGCCTCGGCAATGATGTCACCCCTCTGTGGGAGCCATGACAACGTGTTCTGGTTTCCCTAGCTGACACTCATAACAAAGAGAGCCTCAGTGTGAGGACAGACCCAAAGAGAAGCTCAAAGCTCTACATCGGCAGATTGATCTTAAACTGTGGCGAGGGTGAAAGACTGTACGACAAGCCATGAGGGAGAGAGTAGATGGGCGAGATGACTTTTACATCCATCTGCTGGACTTCACAGGGCAGTGAAGATGATGAAGAATTTTGCTGCTTCACTCCATTTTGACAACTGACCTCATGCCAGCCTTAAGCCACAGTGTCTAATTGCATTCACCAGGGATGTGGAGTGTATAGTGTGACTCCCTCCTTGTGGCACACACACACACACACACATCTTTGTGGGGACTCCCCATAGGCATAATGGTTTTTATACTGTAGAAACTGTATATTCTATCCCCTTACCCTGCCCCATCACAGGAAACATTCTGCATTTTTACTTTTTCAAAAAAACATTATTACTTAGTATGATTTATACACTGTATTCCTCATGGGGACCGCTGGCTGGACCCCACAATGTACAGTAGGTGATTTTCAGGTTTTACTATACTTGTGGGGACATTTGGTCCACACAATGTAATATAAACAGAAACACACACACATATACATACACACATATACATACACACACATATATATATATATATATATATATATATATGTGTGAATGTACCCTGACATTCACAAGTTTTGGATTGGTAGGATTATTAATGTTTTTTAAAAGAAGTCTCTTCTGCTCACCAAGGCTGCATTTATTTAATTAAAATACAAAACAATATTTGAAATATTAATGACAATTTAAAATAACTGTTCTCTATTTTAATATATTTTATAATGTAATTTATTCCTGTGATCAAAGCTGAATTTTCAGCATCATTACTACATTCTTCAGTGTCACATGATCCTTCACAAATCATTCTATGATGATTTGGTGCCAAAAAACTTTTTTTTTTGTTTGGTTGTTATTATTATCATTGTTGAAATCATTGTGAATCACTGAAATGCTCAAATCATTAATAATATCAATATCATTGAAATTATGTGGATTTGATGCTCAAAAAACATTATTATTATTATTATCAATGTGGAAAATAGTTATGAAAAAAAAAACATTTATTTTAATATATAATCTTTTGTAACATTATAAATGTCTTTACTGTAACTTTTGAACAATTCATCCTTGATGAATAAAAGTATTGATTTCTTTAGTTATTCCCCCCAAAATAAACCAAAAATGATTATTGACCCCAAACTTTTGAACGGTAGTATTTAATGTTGCAAAAGCTTTCTATTTCAGATGAATGCTTTGTATTTCATCAAAGATTTCTGAAATCAAAATGTAAAAAACTATTTTCAACATTGATAATAATGAGAAATGTTTCTTGTGCATCAAATCCACATATTAGAAAGATTTCTGATGAATCATGTGACACTGAAGACTGGAGTAAATTACACTTTACTATAGTGTATATATGCTACATAATTAAAGTCCATCTTCAAAAAACTACGTCCAAAGGCAACAAACTACATTTACTAAATTTGATGTCAGACATCTAAAACACACTCTAACAAGCTTCTTCTAACGAAAATGACCTCCCGTCCCACTGGCGGCACAGCCGAGAGCAAAAAGTCCTGGTCTCCTTCATTGAGATTCAGAGTCAAGCTTGCAATTCATGGGTATTTAACCAGACTAAAAGCCAGCAAATTATTTACACTGTCTGCTTTAACAGGCCTGTGCGTGTACAGAGGGAGCAAGGGATATGAGAAGCAAGCAATTAATGTAAAAAGGGAGAGATAGAGAGAGAAACCGACAGTTCGTTTAAATTAGCCATCAGTGAGTCATCACTGCAAAGAGTGTATTGACTTCTGAAGATGAATGTCTCAGATAAACTAGCAAAGGAATCTTTGATGAGCTTAGTAAAAGATTGGGAATGAAACGGCCATATATGCTTGGCCTGCATCAACTGAGATTTGTATGTTTTAAAGATTTAATGATAAACGACTGAAGGGCACGATTAGACTAGAGAGCTCACTCAGTTTTTCCATGGATTTCCATTGGAAACTCAAGCAGATGTTGATTCTGAAACGGAATTCATTAATTCCATCATTCATCATCTGAGATTAGGCTGATTAAGTGGAGTCTCGGTCCAGAGGCATACAGACCTTCTTTGTGTTGAAACCAATCCAGTCTTAAAGAGACAGTTCATTTCAAAATGAAAATTCTGTCATTATTTACTCATTCTCATGTCTTTTTTTATGTATGCTGTTTATCCTCCTGTAGAACACAAAAGATTTGTTTTTCCTACACAGATGTTTTCCATACAGTACTGCAAGCCTGTAAAGCTCCGTAAAAGTCTAATAAAAGTGGTCCATATAAAATCTTGCACAATATTACAAATCTTCTGAAACCTACAATAACTTTGTGTGAAAAATAGGCCAAAACTCAAGTTATTATTCCCTGAAAATCTTCCCCTTTCAGTTAGTGGTTAAAGAAATCACAGAGTCAGGGTACTAAGGGTACATGAATTATCATGAATTCATGTATAAATTTATGCATGAATTGTGTATTCATTCATGCATTAATATCTCATGAATCATCAGGAACTAACACAAGTTCAATCTTTTTCATTCATGACTTACTGAATGAACAACACCTCAATTAAAACATTAACTAAGATGAGCACATCATCATGAATAATGATTTATTACGCATGATCATGATGTTTTCTTTGTTCTTTGTCTAGGTCACTTTAGTTGAGGGGCCACACACATGATGAAGTCATTAATAGATTAATGCTTAGTTAATGATGACTACTGTATTGGACAGACACCAAAATAGACCAATCACAGCTCATAGCACACACATTCTGTTTATTAAATACAGAAGTCATCATTAACTAAGCATTATCTATCAGTGACTTTATGTGTGTGGTCCATAACTAAAGTGGTGACTAGGTCCTTTGAAACACTGATGAACAATGTGATATTAATGGTGGCATTACTGTGAACAAAGAAAACATATTGATCATGTGTAATAAATCATAATTCATGATGATGTGTTAGTTAATGTTAGTTAACTAATGTGTTCATCTAGTCTGGGTTCCCCATGCTGCCTTCCCGCAGCGCGATTTTATTCACGCTGAAAGGCAGTATGGATACCATGGCCCAGATTTTCGCCTCATTTAGGGGAGGGGGCAGCAAGACGATGACGACATCTATGCCACACGCCGCAGTTTGTTTATATCTATGGATTCAACATGGCAGCAGACGCGAAGCTACCTTTTGATGCAGCCTTAGATATTGTTCTAAGTAGTTTAGAATGCAAGTTTATTTTGAAAAAAGAGCAGCTTTTGGCGTTAAACTTCGCGAGACCCCAGTCGTTATTGTTGTCTCACAAATTAATCGCCCTAATGGAGGACCATGTACAGGAGGCGCTCAACCTTGGAATATCTGCCGCTCAGCTGTGTCCCGAGAAAGAAAATGCGATAAAGAATTGTCGATACCAAATTCTGTTCGGCAGTCCCGAGGCCTGGATGAGTGCAAAGTGGCAATACATGTTAGCCACGGAGTTGTATAGTACCTGCTAGGCATCGTCGTCGACGAAGTCCATTTAACTTATAAATGGTAAGTGGTATATCATATTGTCAATATTCCTGTAGACTACCGAATGTGGTTGTCGTGGTGCACCTAAGTTGTGTTGCTTTTCAATATCAATATACAGCTACCAGTTTAGTAGCATAACTTCTTTAAATTAAGTATTTAATTTAGTCTTTAAGTTTTTAAATTAAATTTTTCAACTTGTGAAGTACAAGCGCAAACAATTTCCAATGCAAATAACAACGTCAACATCTATGTTAAACTGTTCTTAATACTTATGTTTTTCTAACTGAAACGATTGGCTATGAGCTACGTGCAGGCGCATTTGATGGACATTCTTAGCACCCAATAAACGCGCCGGACATTCGTAAACCCCGCCTCAAATACGAGAAAACGAACATGTGGTTCCCAGACCCAAGTCTCAACGAGAATAGCGCGGCTAGTGTTCATCTTAGTTAATGTTTTAATCCAGGTGTTGTTCATCCATGAAGCCATGAATGAAAAATGTTGAACTTGTGTTAGTTCCTGATGATTCATGAGATATTAATGCAAAATACATGCATTAATTTACATGAACTCATGATAATTCATGTACCCTTACTAGTGTTACCGGAAATGAGCTCTGAGAAGGACAGTGATGTTAGTATAAAACATCTGCTCAAACTGAACCCTTCCATGACAAATATGCTTTCTTTTATTCTTCTGTAATTGTTACTCTATTATCAGGAGAGTTTTATATTATCTCGACAGGTAGAGATGCATCAGTGTTCGATATAGATCCGGGTCGCAAAAGACCCGAATATGTAATAATGATTGGCGAAACTTTCATGCTTTTAAGGGTTAAACAGAAATTGTCATTATTTACTCACCATCATGATGTTCTAAACCTGTATGCTGTTGTACTCAAAATCTTTTCTAAAAGTGAGAAGTGTTACCTGTGGATCTGGCCATTTTTGTGGAGGTACTCAAGACCCTGAAGGACCTCTTTCAGAACTGTAGCAATACTGGCTTCATCCAGAACACCGGTCCTGTGTTCCCCCTTTGAAATAATGTGCTTTATCACATCTAACACTGAGCCTGCAACAAGGAAAACACAGAGAGCTGTTAGTAGACATAATGTTTAGCTTCACAAGTGCACATGCTAGAAGAGCTTTACTAGAGGGCACGTTATATACAGCACTAGGCCGTTTCGTGGCACACTTACTGGCCGATGTTCATCATTGTTTTGCACTTGGCTTGCGTGCATGACCTTAAAGCTTTTCCGGAAGGTCAGACAAAAATGTCATAATCTACAGTAACTTGCTCTGGTTGCTTCCCAAGATTGTTTGTCTTTTTGTGTTGTTTATATTTACAAAGCTTAACTTGATTATGGGACACCCAACAAACCAATATTGTTTCAACCTTGAAGAAATATGGACACCCAAAGCAAATGTTTTAGGAAAACAAACCGTCATCTGTCAATCTTTATTTCCCCCATGATATTTAATTAAGACATACTGTATGCAAGAGATTCCACGAAGAGAATGTTCCTTCAGCAACTTTATCAACCAGTTAGGACATGGCCAGCACCTCCCGCAAACAGTGCAGACAGACAAAAGATCCTGAGGGAGATGATGTAAACGGCATAAACCATAAAGTCTGCTGGCCGCCATGTGTCAGGGAACGCTCTGAACAGCCTCGTTTCAGACATCAGTTAGACAAAGACGGTCTGTTCATGCAACCACCCCAGAGTTGCATATGTATGAAAACTAATAGCATATGACATTTCATCCCACTACCTGAAATGAAATTCTGAGAAAAGGAATTTGGAATTCCCAGAATTCTGATCAAGTTAACTCCCATGACAGGGTTCTCTTCCCTGATGCCGACAGCAGAACTTTAAACCCTCCGGGCGAGAGGAAGTCCAACAGCGTGCCGTCAGTAGACTAGAGTGGGCGGCTGGCCAGTGTTTGTGTGGGGCAGAGCGACAGTCCAGAGGCACAAGGATATTTAATAGCACGATCACTTTAGAAACATTACATTAATACTCAAAAAACAACTTGTCCATACACACTTCCATTAAAAATTTGGGGGATTTGTTTAAAGAAATGAATACTTTAATTCAGTCAACATGCATTTAATTGATCAAAAGTTACAGTAAATGCATCTACAATATTTAATATAAATGCTGTTCTTTTGAGCTTTCTATTCAATGAATGTTGCATTTTTTTAAATCAGTTTTCACAAAAATATTAAGCTGCATAACTTTCAACATTGATCATAATAATAATAAGTAATGTTTATTGAGTGCCAAATCAGCATTTGGAGAAACAGCGTCTAAAAAATTCATCTTTGCCATCACAAATTACATTTTAAAATACATTTAGTTTTTAATAAGTTTTTAAAATGTAGAAATATTTCACCATGTTACTGTATTTTTGATCAAATAAATCCAGCCTTGGTGAGTCTATTGAACTAGTTAAAATACACTACTACGATTAAGCATTTGGATGAAAATGCTTCGTTATTACAATTTAAGTGAAAAAGTGTGGAAAACAGGTCTGCATATCATCTATGCAGGCTGCTCTGTTGAAATGAAAAAAAAAAAAAATTTCTAAACCATTGAATGGCAAATACAAAAATACGTATAGAAAAGTACAGATATACAATTTCACACAGTCCTAGAATATTGTATTTTGAAAAAGTGCAGCATGACTCACCAGGAAAAACTGTGAGATCATAGCCAAGGAAATCAAGGTAGTTTATCACACCCTAGCTCATGGTGAAAGTGATTTGAGAAACAGAAAAATGCCTTATGCGTTTTCTTATTTTGGTTTCTTTTCTTCTTCTTTCTACAGCTAATTCTTCTTCCGTGGTTTAAAAAAGGGTATCGCCGACCTCTAAGTGGCCTGAAGGTTGTTTTATATGAAAACTCAAATAAGTGAGCATTCGAATGAAAGAAAAACAAGACGGTGAAACTGTGTGTGTGCGGGCATGTGTCTGTGGCATAAAGCCAGCGCACTGCTGACTGAGTGAACACCACATCAAGTTTCACTGACAGCTAAGACCTGCATTAAGAGCAGTCAAGCTCCGACAGAGAGAGAGAGATATCCTGGTAAATTATGCTACATTAAAACCCATGTGAGATTGATGGGTGAGGCTGCTGAGTGAAATCAACTAAATTCTTAGCGTCAAACATACACAGGGAGGGCCAGAGAGAGCAGGAGAGATAAAAATGTAGTATTTTCCTACAACTCACTTCAATATCTTGAGCTCTATGGTTAAAAGTTTAAATAACTTTAAGACGGTGTTCTACAAAAATAAAATTGTGACATCATTTATTCATCCTCATGTTCTCTAAACTATACAAGTTTCTTCGCTGGAACACAAAAGGAGATATTAAGCAGAATGTTTAAGCTGTACGTTCTCACACAACAAAAGGTACCATAAAAGCTATATGGAAATAGTCGGTATGATTTGTGGGCTATATTTCCTTCTGAAGCCACATGACAACTTTGAAATATAGCGCACAAATAGTATGGATCTCTTTTTTTTGTCATTTTCGGAGCTACTGTTAATGGAAAAGAGCAGCGTGAACATTCTGCTTAATATCACCTTTTGTGTTTCAAAATAAGAAAGTGATAAGGTTTGGAACTATATGAGGGAGAGTAAATGATGACGTGATTTTTAGTCTTGTCTATTAATTAACATTCATCCCATAGAAGGAAATCCTACAGATTAAGAGCCACATAAATGACAAAACTTATCCTTTTTTGGGGTGAGGGGTGGGGATCCCAACAATGTTCATCCCGGAACGCCTCAATCATGTGAAGCCCCATGCTGAGGTGTAATGGAGATGTAACTAAACGCTTCTCATTTCATTAAAAACCACACAAATGGCTTTATGTCTTGTTCACATGAGCCAAACTCCCATTCCTAATGCTCTTGAAAGTAACTCTAACCGTGACCATGTGGTGCAAAAGCATTCTTGATATTCTCTCATGAGACTTTGAGGAAAAGCATCACCAGGAAATCTCCCCAATGCCCTTTCTGTAATTTCAATTATGTTTCAGCAACAGGAAAAGAAAATGACTCTTTGTCCAACAGTTGTCAGAGACTATCTGACACTGCTGCCTTCCTAAGGATCCTGCATTGGTGTGGGTGGAACATGCCATGTCGTGCCCACTGGGCCAAAGGGCACAGGGCCATACGGGCTGCTGGTGAGGGAAAGATTACTCTAAGAAAATAAGGGTGGAGGAGAAGAGGGAATAAAAGCAAGATAGGAAGCATCTGTTGTTTCTCATTGGGCTGAGTCTCACTACGGGCACGATGCCATATTTCAAAACATTGTGCTTAAAACCTACAAGACAGCGACAGCTTAAAATTGCACCAACTATTTCAATGGCTCTGGGTAATCTGCTTACGGGATGAAAAAAAAAATTACTCCACATTCATGAATGTAGTACTGAGTTTATATTGAAATTCCTGATTGTATGCATGCATTTTTGTACTTATATGTGCGTGTATAATATGCTAAGTCTCCACAGTTTGATCTGCTTAAGTGGATTGTTCATCTGACCAATTGTATTGAACCCATCATTTGGGTCATTCAATAAAAAGAGTACCTTTTCCAGGCTGAATAGGAGTTTTTAAAAAAAAAAATATTTTACATAAATGAATTGAAATACATAAATGTATGTACATTTAAAGATACATTTTAATATATATGATAGGATGCAATAAATTGGATTTTATATTTATCTATATCACTATGTGAGAAGACTTTTTTTATATAAATTGAATTATATTCTATTATTTGAATAAAATAAAATATAATAAAAGTTATTGGATGTTTGTTGATGCGTATAAAATGTCTACTACTTCAGCTACTCCACTTTTTACTATGACAATTTTAAGACTTTTTTTTTCTGTTTTTGCAAATGTACACACCGGTTTTGTAGAATGACTCATTTATATTCAGAGCAGCATAAAGGTGACAAGCAACAATGTGCTTGTAAAGTTGTAAAACTTCCACCTAGCTGTAAAATATCTACTTACAAGTGCTGTTCAGAGGCCAGAGAGGACAACTCCTTTTGAGCTATATCTGCTAATAAGCACAAGCGTGCTATGTGCTTATGTACACAGGGTTGGGGAAATTCCCCTCCTTCTATGTTAAGGCGCTTTGAGCACCAGAAAAGTCATCTATGTTTAGAAATGTAAGTAATTATTATTTATTATAATCATAATTAAGTCATTGATCTTGTTCCGTATCTAACATACCTTTGTACCCAACAAATAGGCCAGGCTTTCTGCCAGATCTGGTCTTCCTGTAAATGCCATGAGTGAATAAAGCAACTATGAGATGTATTATTCATTTTTTATTATTTATTCAGTTTAAGCCCGTTTTGCCTTCATGGTACAGGACAGTAAACAGGAAGTGGAGGGAATGACAAAATTAAAAAATACTGAGATAGTTTGTTTTGTAGTTCTTTCCTGAATGCACTTCCTATGCTGAAACTATGGAATGCCACCAAGCAGCATCACATAAAATCACATTGCTATTCACTTCATCACTTCTGACAGCTGTCAAAGGGAATGTTACAAATGTCACTTTCAAGATATATTTAAAAGGTTAGTTCACTTAAAAATCTAAATTGTTATCGTTCACTCACCCTCATATTATTCCAAACCTATCTGACTTTATTTTTCGCGCTAAACACCAAAGAATATATTTTGAGGAATGTTTGAACTGTTTTTGTCCATACAAATGAAGTCTATAGAGTGCCGAAGTGATGACGTCACTTTGTCGGACAACTCGGAAGCTAGCAGCGCATGGGTTCCCTTGATCGAAAAGGCTATGCATTTTCCCCATAGACTTTTGGAAAATCGCAAATAAATAAGATCTGTATTTAACACCTTACACGTTTTGTCTATCAAGATAATCTTTACAAGTTAATCCAAAATGTATACATTTTGAAAGTTTTTTTAAAACACAAGCTGACACAATAACAAAAACAAGCAGGTTATAACTGTGTGTTCTATGTCATAGATCAAAACGTGAAAATATTTAGAGGCTTTGTTCACCACAAACCTTATTTCAGGCAATTTAGCAAAAACCCATTCAAAAATCCCATAGACTTTAGAGCGAGGGAACCGGTAGTGCTAAAATGCAAACTCACTTCCGCGTTTTGGCCTACAGAGTGACGTCGTAACTTCTGCACTCTATAGGGTTCAAAACAACCCTGATTGGACCCCATTGACTTTGACACAAAAAAATAAATAAAAAACTCTTCAAAAAAATGTTACGTTTTTGTGTTCCACAGAAGAAAGAAAGTCCGTTTGGAATCACGTGAGCATGAGTAAATGATTCCAATTTTCATTTTTAGCTTAACTATCCTTTTTAGACCCCTACCCTTTAGTACACAATAAAAACACAGCAGTATCTGTTATGTTTAAACTACTATAGCTGCCTGCCCCAGAGCTGTGAGACCTTGTCGTCTCCTACCTTCATACTTAAGATGGGCTGCGTGCCACCTGGGCATCTTCAGCTGGCAGAGGCAGGAGGAGGAGGGCACAACAGCTGATGACAGGCGTAAAATGAACTGCGATTATCCAGACAGAGTGATTTCAGCTCTGCGCCGGGGGAAGAAAGGCCACGTCCCACGGCTGTCAGTGTCAGCATGAGCCACACTATAATCTCCCTGTACAGCACTTGGCTGCGTCTGGGACAGAGCATTACACGCTGGCTTGAAACATATCATCAAACTCTCAGCAGTAGCTTTACACAATGGGGTTCGGAAAGACACGAACACTACTGGAGCTTAAGGACGCAATGCAATCAAGAAGCAAAACGGGCTGTTTAAAACTAAAATAAATAAAAACAGTGCTGCACGATATTATTAAAAAAAAACAAAACAAAACAAAAAAAAACGGACATGGCAATATACAGTATATTGGGATATGAAAAGATGCAGGAATTTTAACCTGCTGACATGAATAGCCATATTCGGGGGGGAAAAAAAAGATCATTTTCGAGCGAGTGGGATGGATTTTTTGAGGAGTGCATCAGCATAAAAATTAATAACAAATAATAATAATTAATTTTTCTGAGGACTTTGAGCGTGAAATCCTTGTAGGGCTGAACGATTTGGGAAAAACTTCAAAATTGGGAAAATTGTTCATAAATGGGTTTACTTTTTACAAGCATCGACACACTTATTTCAGTTAAAAAAAAAAAAGTTATCATAGGCCACATTTCCACTGTTGAACAATTTAATATTTATTGTATAATATACAATGCACTTTAATATGTGAAGTTATGATTTTATTGTGACTATTATTTAAAAAAAATATTAAACAAAATCAGGAAGAAAATTTTATTCATATTATATTACAATATTAATATTTACATCTTAATTTCATAATTTTTAAACAAGCTTTTATTTTTATGGTTTGCTTAATAAAAATTTGAGCTGTCAAGTTTTAGAATGAAAACTACACATATAAATGTGTCGCTTCACCCTGAAAATTGCAAAGCATTTTTTTAAACTAAATCGTACCCTGTGCAATTTGAAAAATCGCACTATATCCATATTTTATTTTGATAAAACATGCAGCCCTAAATAAAATCATTTCTATAAATCTATTCAGCAACTTCACAGCTGAACAAATATGACAAATTCTGATCTGTTTGCATAACTTAATGTGCCAAGATATGCTTGTGCATGTCTTAGGATAAATTCCCCAAAAGCCAGGCTGGCAAGATTGTCAAAAGAGATCCGTGCCGGACACAGGCATAATGCAATAATGCTGTAAGATATGGTGCGAGTCTCAGGCTGTTGCACTAATGTGTCTGCTGTAATTAACAGCAACCTCTGATTAACTCCGTAGAGGAGCTCCTGGAAAACTCCATTAGCATTCTAACGGCTCATTTGAGATCCCAATATAGCACTCAAAAATGAAATTACCAAGAGAAACCACCAATATATCTCAGCAAAACTTCATTTAGTGCGTCAAACAGTATTTGACAGATGAATGACCAAAAAACACTACTGTTCAAACTTTGGTGACAGCAAAATATTGTTTTGAAGAGAAATGAATAGTTTTACTCAGAAATTAAAGTAATTAAAAGTGACAGCAAAGACATTTATAATGTTACAACAAAATCCTATTAAAAAAAGCTAATATGAACATTCTATTCATTAAAGAAACCTGAAACAAAAAGTATGATGGTTTCCACAAAAATTATAATCAGCACTACTGTTTTCAACGTTGAGCACCAAATTAGCATATTAAAAGGAGTTTTGAAAGATCATATGACTGCAAATTTATCATTGCCATGACAAGAATAAATTACATTTTAAAATAACAGTTATTTTTTTTTACCGTACCAACCCAGAACTTTTTCCGCAAGACATCATATGGTCATGTCTAATGACCTACACCAAATTCAAGTAATTATAACCGAACAAATATATTTGTTAACTACAGAGCTTCTTTTTCTATAAAAATGTAATCTTGATTAAAATGTTTTTTTTTTTTTACTTCTCTCAAAGCTCCTTCAGATGCTACCATCAAAAATCTACCAAATCAAGTCCTGTCAGTACACAGGATGTTGCATCAAAATTGAAATGAACACAACTGAATGGCTTTTTTCAGTGCTTGGATGCAACCAACTGGAAATTGAGGGGTTGGATTGGAGGCAAAAGGACAGGTGGGTAGGACTTACCACCACTGAGCAGCTTCATGACCAACCACAGCTCATCCTTCACCACAAACGACGTGTAGTACGACACAATGTTCGGGTGGTGACACTGGCTCATCGCCTGAATCTCTTTCTGGAGAGAGAGAGAGAGAGGGAGGGGAAATAACCACAGTTAACCTAATTCAACCAATATCCTTTCTAAATAATTCACAAATTGGATGAAACAACCAATCTGAATCCTTCAAGGCATCTGCAGGATGTTTAAAATCAAATTGAAGGCTTTTAGGATGTTTTTTTAAGACCTCCACATCAATAACGGTCATATCATTAATTTCAACTTTACCATTCTCATAAAATAACTGGGTTATTGTATATTATTCAGTACTTTCTTGGCAAGTACACTGTAAGTACATTGAAAGAGCACGTACTGCAAAATAAAGTGCAATCGATCCACCTGTTAACATTTGCAACACTGTGTGGAAGATGTGTAAAATAATGATTTGGTTTTTACATTGATCTAAACAAAATGGAAGACGTGAACGAAAATGCAAATACAGTATACAATATGATGGAAGAGCAGAAAAATAGTGGTTTCTCCGTTTACCTCTGTAAACAAAGTAGCTCTGTTTTATTAGGAGGTAATATGAAAAAAAAAGGCGAAAGGCGAAGAGTTTGGAGGTATGACTGATATAAACACAGTAATTTCATCAAATCATTTTATTTAATCAAATTGTAGCCTTTTGAAGTTTATTACATTAAGACATATTGTGATTCCTGGTTTTCCATCTTTCCCCCTTCCATCCAAGACATCTTCAAGTGTTTTCTAAATTTTATGACACCAAATCTGATAAAACTAAATTTAAGACTGAAGGACCCGCGGGAAACCCTGTTCTTTAGAAAGACAGCGTTAAACACTGGAATCAGTTCATGTGCTTGTCGCTGAATGAAGCAGCTCTCAATAAGGCATTTACTGTGTATACATACAGTCACATAGTATGTGGTCCAGAATGCACTGGGCCTCATGGCTTAACCGAATAACTGAGGTGCTTCACAATGGTGCCATTCCAGATCTGGATTAATGTTTAAACAAGTCTAGCTCAGTTGAACAGTTGGCAAATCGTCAGGTTCAGTTCAGCAGATATTTACGTACTTCAGGTGAACTAGTAGTTTTTATTAGCTCACTCGTATATGAAGCACCTCCAGCCACTTTCACCGACCGCAAAGCACGAACAAACTGTAAAAATAAACAACATCAATCCAAGAGTGCTATAAACACCACGACACCTTCACCTGACTGCCTGTTACAAATAACCACAGTGTCCAAATAAATAGGTGTGCATGTTGTTACTGTCAATATTCATCAGCAAAACAGGGATACTAGATGGGGTTTTTTTTAGCAATCGAAGACAGAAGGAAAAAGTAGTTTTTCTCTATCCCCTGTTTACTTGCTAGTCTTTCTATTTGACGAAGCAGTTAAAGTGAAACCCTTGCAGCTCAGTGAGACTGACAGCTGAGGTAATGTTGGCACTACGCCTGAATCCATCACTCTGAGTGAGTTCTCCCCAAGTCATTTGATGGTGGGGGCTTACTAATGATATTATAAAGCAATTGTGCCCTTTCGTTTTAGCTGTCAGGGCTAGTCTTGTTCAATTTGTTACCTGGATGCCAAAACAATCAATAAAAGAAACTAAAAATTGCAGGTTTGATGCTAATGAATGGCTACACGAGTTTAAACTTGTTCATTCCACAATGCTGAGCTTCATTATAGTCTAATGCTGCTTTGTTAATATTAAACTGAATGGGGACCCGAGCTTTCAAGCTATTCTAATTGTATAAAAATTTTTTAAAAAAAAACATTTATTTTGAATTTCTTTACATTATTTGGTTTTACATTTCAACTTACTTTAGTGAAAAGATGAAAACTTACAAAGTCCACCATGGAGGAGATATTCTCTCTATCAGTAAACAGAGCATTACTGTCAGACTGGAAAAACAGGTGCTGCAATAATGTAAAATGTGTGAACAATAATGTTTTTTAAACATTTGAGAATGAAAACCTATTCTAGTTGGTCCTCTTTAAGTCAGAAGTAAATCAGCCAAATTTTAACAGTCTTTTGAAACCACTACTCAATAGTCCCAAGATAACTCAATAGATCAGCATACCCAAACCAACTAAACCTGTTCTAAAGTCTGCATACAATTTACACAAACACTTCCGTCTTAAATTAACTATAGTTGGAATGTAAGTTTTGGTAATGAAATGTAGCAAAAATACAGCCATGTTATAATTAAGTGCACCGCTTTGCTTCAAGTAAAGGGTCGGGTTGCAGACACAATCCTCTCAAATATAAAAAATGAATAAGATAGGCCATTTCAAGTTTCTGAAAAACAACTCATGACAGTTTAACTTTCCAAGTTGAATCCTCAAATGACCTTGTGGACATGAGCCATGTTCTCTGACCCATAAAATGTATTTACAAGTGCAATCATGTATAGCAGTCAAGACAAAGCTCTTCCCGTGCCAACACTGTAGGGTCACAGACACCCCAACAGTGGGCCACTGGGTATGTCCCACCCCTCCAAAGCTGGATTTCATTCAACAATTTAGTCAGCTTTGGCTGGCTCCACAGGCTGTGTCCAGTTCCACGATAGACACCAGTTTGAGGGCGTATGAAAACAATAACGCACTGGACGGTCTTTGGACATTCAATGGCTAGTGCTCCATCTGCATTCTCACAGCATTAGCCGAGGGTCATCTCAGCGTGGCTGGCCGATGTCTACCCGAGAGAGACAAAAACAATAGCCTGAGAAGGGAGGGTGACATCAAGAGACTGTTTGCCACCCGATTCGTGTACGTCCAGAGGACAATGAGCAAAGAAAAGCACTGAGACTCTTTGTCTGTGCTTATGTCACTGCCTTTCTGCCACTATACGCCCAGTGGAAATAAAAATTAAAAAAAAAAAACACTTTCCTTCCTAAGTGTAACTTTCTCACTTCATATATGCTGTTCTATTTGCATTAAATGTATGTTAAAGCCTGAGGTAAATATTCGGCCCCACTATATTAAGTGGCTTTAAGTATGCACTTACATTGAAATTAATGATACAATGGACTTATTGTGTACATACATGTTTTTACATTGTACTTATACTTTGAAAATACCTGCATGTAATTACATTTATAACTACACTGTTGCCCCTTCCCTTACACCTTAAACCTACCCATAACACCACACCTGACCCTAACCTTACCTGTATCAGACCTCAATAGCAGCACGTGTTTTACAATACAATCTGAACACAATAAGTACATTGTACTTATTTTTTGCTGTAAGTAAAGCCGCTTAATATAAAGTGGGACCAAATATTCATTTAAAATCGTATGTACTTATTTTTTGATGCAAGTAAAGCCACTTAATATGAAGTGGGACTAACTATATTGATTTAAAATCATGTGCATAAAAATCCCCCTCTCTCTCTCTCAAATCAGATAAAAACAGATCAGCAGGATATTTAGCTGATTCACTTTTAGAAAAGCACAACATTTCCTTTAATATAGGTAAAAGGAAAACCACTCTACAGAAGAAAATTTCAGATATCTTAATATAAAAATAAAAAACATATTGACTATTGACAAATATTACAATTACCTCTCTTACTGCTGCTGTTTAGTCAAATAAAAATGATCTGATACTGAATAATAATAATATTAATAAGAATTTTGTCCAATTGCATAAACTGAATTAAGACATTAGTCCATATTTCAATTTCAAAGACTTTTGACTATAATTACAAATAAATAATTTCATAAATATTTATGATAAACATTTAACATTTAGACATTAGACCATATTTCAATTTTCAACGTAAAAATGATTATGATATACATTTAACATATCGTACTGCTTCAGTATAGTAATATAAAAATCATATAATACTGAATAATTATAATAACTGTGTAGCCCAAACCATCCTATTCAAAAGGCAGACATCTTTGAACATTTAGTTTGAATATATTATATATACACGACAGCTAATCTATCTAGGAGAAATGCAGCACATTTAACCACCGTCATCTAATGGACAATTGGCAGACACTGAAGTCATGTGATTTGAGAAGTCCTTGTCAAGTCCCCGTAGAATAAACGCTGCAGTGGTACACAGAGGGTTCACTATAGATTCAGCTTGACGTCAATGGCACTGACAGGATCTCAGCTCAGTCAGAGAGGAAAATTGTTCCTTCCACCACAACAGTCACACAGCTTCTGCGTTATGACTTGTTTGGATTGTCCTGTTCTTTTTCGCTGCTCCTGCATGTTGGGAAGAACTAAAGCATGCTATACCCCAGCAAATTAGCCTGATCATAAGTGAAATTGACCCAAACCTCAAAGGAATTTCCTCCGAGAGCAGTCCTTGATGCAGATTACATGCATTACTGCTGCTCTCGCTCATTACGGGAGCAATCTGGCTTTAATTTAATGCCTCCTCTGAGTTTAAGAGAGCGCTCGGCATATCATAACGGCAAAGAAAGCATCAGAGGAAACCTGAACTGCATATTTTCCCTCTGACCCTAACTCTACAAAACTCTCCTGTTAACTTTCACCCAAGTCATTCCCAAGGGTTTACCTCAGATCAGCTGGAAGAAAGTCTCCATTTACAGACTTTTTTTTTCTGAAATCAATGAGGGCAGGACTAGGGATAACATCTCTAACGACTTCAAACTCCTCGGTACACCTGGATTTGGGAAAAACTGAGATTCTGGTAGCCTCCCGCAGAGAGCTTGTAAATCAGGAATATGAGCTTTCCCAGTGAACGACAAAATCGGCTCCGCCTGGTCACGAGGAAAACTATGACCTTTTGAGCTCCTTGAGGAGCTGACAGATGAAATTAATAAGATGGGAAGGGGAAAGGATGTGTGTAGAAACTTTAGGAGTCATGTATGGAAACTTGAACTTTCAAACCAAACAGAAATTGGTGTTTTAAGGCATTTTCAGAGCTGTAAATTGTTTGCTTTGCTCCGAAACAAGGACTTAATGTTTGATCGGTTCGCTTTCACAAGTCAAAGCATATCAAAATGTGTTTATGCAAGTCACATGTGAGTAAAACTGTTCTCTTTTTGGTCAGAGTTCACCTGTTTACGTTCCTTTGCGTCATCCGTTTCTTTCTCAACTCAAACAAACCGCTCCAGAGTTTGCCTTCAATCAGGTTGAGACAACCACGTTCAGGCGATCTCGGAGTGATTGTTTTGGTGTGGATCTGAGCATGATTGCTGTGTTCATATATGCCTCAATGAACTAAAAATGAAAATGCACCAGGTTCCGAAAACAAACACTCCAAATGAGCCAGGTGTGAAAACGCCCTTGGAACTGGAAGATTCTTTAATGACTGGGATGAAGTCCTACTTTAGTTAATGTTGTGATTCACACAGAAGTTGCAAGGGGAAAATTCTGACTAGGAAATAAAACTGGAAAACACCAGAGGGATTCCCTTTGGTCCAGTTAATAATGGTTTCCAGGCAATTTGGAAATGTTAGAATCCATGTGTTAGCTCTTTCCCTCACATGAAATATTTCTGATTGTCGTTTAAATTTCACATAAGGAAGTTTTTAGAATAATAACGTCATAATAATACATTTTAATGACATAATTATGTTTTTACTCGTTTTTTGGAAATATAAACATTTAAATGGTGGTTGTCATAAAAACAACAGATTTATTCAAAAATTCATTAAATATTGAACAGGTTAAGTCTAAATTAAAAGATATGCAGTGCATATATTTAGCAAAATGCTCTGCTCTAGGTTCAATTATTTTAGCAGAGTAACTTGAAAGTTTTTTCTATGGTAATGTAACATTATGAGACACTGTTTACAAGCTGTTTCCATCTTTCGTCTGTTTAAACACTAATTGAGCAATTACACAACACATGATATAGGATGATCAGTTCATGTGCTGCTTGAACTGAGGCGTCACAACAATCTGTCACGACACATTCAAGAGCGCTGAAGCAGAATTTATTGTTTGAATTTCACAACAAAATCTACAGAATTTGAACGCTAAGACTTTGCTTGATATCAGAAGCCACAAAGCTTATTGCGATTTATTGGATGAGAGTTGCATTACAAAGCTTTGTTAATTCATCAACTGAAAACAGCACAGAGTGAAAGATCAATTATTGGGATGTAATCGATATTGGTTCTTCAAACTGAGATTGGATCAAGAAATCAATATTTTTAGGTTTTACTGACAGTTTGAGGATCCAATGGAGTTACGAGGTTTAGTCACGCAAGCTCTTTTTAATTCTTTTCATTGGTTAGATAATTGCAAAACCAGCAGATAGACGTAAAGGGTGACCGAAAGTAATGATTTATGAAAAAATAAATAAATGGAGACACAAGGTTTCAACCCAACAGCGACGATATGTAAAAATCTGTTCCCATTGCCCAAAGACACATAGCCTACTGAATGTTGATACGTTGTGTCTGTGCATTACAATCAATCAGTCCTGTATGGTCATTATTCACTGTCAGCTCATAAAAGGTGTTGGCATTTATGAGCCATGACTTATTGAGTGGTATTTCTCATATGCAGCCTTTAAATGTTGCACAGATGGGATCGTGCCTAACAGGTTTCATATATTTAAGCAGAACATGTGAAACTCCCATAAATTTCTCTAACCGCAAGTCGACATGAAACAGAATTCACAACCCATGTTACTTTCATTCTTGTGTTAGTATCTTCAAACGCAACAAACTAAACAACAACAGGTGTTATTTTAGTATGTGGTAACAAGTTCAATACCAGGAGCTCATCCATGCTTGTCTGACATTTTTCCAGATTGATGCGTTTGATGGCGACCTTCTCCTTCCTGGGCACACAGTAGGCAGCCTGGACCACAGCTGTAGCTCCACTCCCTGAAACACACAAGAACGCATGTTAAACTCAGAACATTAGGAGCTGCATGGGACATCAAGTCATGACAGATAGTAGAATGAAGAGGAGAAACTGAAGGCGTGGCACTATATATTAGGGCTGGGTAAAAAATATATACATTATACATACAAATATACATTTCTCGATTAATATTTTAATCAATCGCTACAGAAATCCGTATCATGTCTTGTGTAGTCGTTCAATTAGTGCTTCAACCTCGAAAGACATCAATAAAACAGCTTGTGCAATAAAATATGTCATGTAATGTCACATTTAAGCCTACCTCAGAAAAAAACAGATTCAGTGGCCATAAATTCAATAGTCAGCTACAAAAAATTACTCTAGAGAGAAGCATTTTGCTAAATATGTGCACCATATTCATTAAAAATGTTAATGTTCTTCAATATTTAATGCATGTCAAGCTATGACAAACAACAGTTAAATGTTTATATTTCAAAAAATGACTTGGAATAGAAATATAATTATGTGATTGTAAAGTTAGTATTATAACTATTATTATAAAACTTCATTGAGTGTAATTTAAGTGTTTGCAGACAAATCAGTTCAATTTTAACCTTCAATATTATAGTAATGTTGTACCAACTGACTCACTCCATAAGTTTACAGCATAAGTTGAGTTTTTTTTTCCTTGAGAAAATTTGCCATGTACTGTACCTAATATATATCCAAATTAATTTTTTAATTAAAAAAATATATTTTTTAATTTAATAAATTATAATTAATTTATTTAAAAATAAATCATAACAATTAAATTAATATATTAATCAAAATAATATTTATATTTAAAATGTAATGTCATTTTAAAATTGTTATACTTTTTTGTTGTATGAATGATAAATGATTATTACATGTCAAAAAGCAGAAATACAATAATGATGGGTTCTGCATATTGGTTATGAGACATTTTTCAAACATTATTGCTCATTAAAAACAATAACATCTATCTCTAGCCATTATACTTAAATGTTAAAGAAAAGCTGACAGCTAAATGCTAAATCAAAACATTCCTCTGTCACGGCAGCATTGGACATTTATTCGAGAAGACTATTAAATCCTAACAGACTATAAGTCGAAGGATTTGAGCGCTATACTTGGCTTTCAACTTTACTGCAGAGGTTAATCTCCAGAGTGCTTTAATGAGGTTCTGCTCATGGCACCACAGACTGGCACAGGAGAGAAAGCAGACAACAAGACACTTCTGCAGTTATCCTTGAGAACGCAAGGTTGTCCTAGTCCACACATCCTGAATAATAGAAGACAAGACTCTACGGGGGCCCAAGACCCTCGTAAATCAGCAAGCACCTATGTTTGCACTGCGAGCTGAATAGAAATGACATATTACTATGCTGATATAAGGCAGAGGGATTTTTTTAATCATCTTTAATCAACTACTCAAACTCCATATGGCCTAATAATAACAAAAACCTCATTGTTTAGCATTTTGATTGCACCAGCAGGGCACCATGGATTAGGGAACAAATTCTAAAACTGAACTGGTTTGACTAGTTTGTGTACAGCCAAACAGTCATTGGAGAATTTGAACCACAATAATGAGACTGATCTGAAGTAGCCAAAATGTTACTAAAATGTGCTGACAGCAATCCCATTAATCACATCATGGCCTCCAGATGGATGTTGGTCCCCACTCCCAGGACTGGCCCTCATACAGTAGGTCACCCAGGATGTTCACCATTCATCAATCAAGAGAGCTGTATTTGAGACCCTATGCTATACATTAAAAGTTGCCTGTGCCAACAACATGAGTTTAAGTATAAATTCCTACAGACAAACAAACAATCGGTTGTTAGGGATTATTCAGGAAAGAATATACTAAAGTTGGCATGAAATAGAAGTTGCGATAGTCTTTTCTTCCCTATTGTGATGAATATTCAAGTAAAAAGGCTTCTCGAACAAGGAAAACAATACTTGATTATTTGATTATTATAAAAATACAAAAGACTTGATTTTGTCTAATATTGGTTGTGGTTTGCTATTGCTGTTATCTCACTAAACATGTCATCAGAGAAGAGAGAACTTAACAAAAATATGTGCATGAATAAATCATTTTAATTAAATGCTGCAATATTCCATAAAAATAAGAATTGTCCATTTTTATTTCATGGCAATAATCATCAACATTGGTCAATATTTAGGGTAATTGTGCACCCACATTTCCCCCAATTTACATTAACTGATATTAGTATTTAAACATTCTCTATGATATTATTTTTTTAATGACACACTGTCTCTTTCTCTCTCATACACACACACACACACTGTCTCTTTCTCTCTCACACATATGTAGGCTAGTTATCAACTCTTTAGAATTTTAATGCTTCGTGTTTTATTTTTAAAGTTTGTGGGTCGTGTAAAAAACAAAAAAAAATCCCTTATTTTGGGGATGGATTCTGGGAAATCTCCCTTATTTTCAATGTTCAATGTTCAATGTTGACAGCTATAAACTGGATACGGTAAAAGATTAATATATCAACTTGCTCTGCTGACTATGTCCCCTTCTTCGTTGCTCTGATTGGTTGTAGCGCTATCCAATTGCGTGCAGAGAGAATGTGAAAGACAACCGCTTATCCCGCCCCTAGGATTGAGCCCTGTCAATGATGAGTTCCCAGACCAAACATCTTGATGTAGGTCTGGCATGCCAGGCTAGTCCGGGCCAACAGAGGGTCTACTGTGGCACAAGTCGCACAAAAATGTTTAATGATGGTTAGGGAGGAATGTGTCACAACAGACTGCTGCAAATGTTACTGGGTGGCTGCAGACCAACCAGAGTGTTTATGATGATGACCCCTGTCCAAAGCGCCTACAATGGGTGACAGAACTGGACCTCGGAGTAGTGGAAGAAGGTTGCCTGGTCCGATGAGTCCCGTTTTCTTTTACATCACGCGGATGGCCGTGTACAAGTGTGACGTACACCTGGGGAAGTGATGGTACCAGGATGCACTCTGGGATCAATGGTCAATCTGGTCAATGTTCTGCTGGTGGGTAACCCTGGGTCCAGCCATTCATGTGGACGAAAATTTGACATGTGCCACCAACCTAAACATTGTTGCAGACCAGGTACACCCCTTCATGACAATGGTGTTCCCTGGTTGAAATGGCCTCTTTCAGCCCCCTTCCACACTGCACACATTGTTCAGGAATGGTTTAAGGAACACGATAAAGAGTTGAAGGTGTTGCCCTGGCCTTCAAATTCCTCAGATCTCAATCTAATTGAACATCTGTGGAATGTGCTGGACCAAAGAGTTCGATCCACAGCGGCTCCACCTCACAACCAACAGGACATGAAGGATCTGCTGCTAACTTCTTGGTAAAATTTTAGATAATCAGTGAACCCTACTGTTCTAAAAAAAATACTTTGTTTGAAAAAATAAATAAATGCTTTTATTTTGAAAGGATGTATTACATTTCAAAAGTAACAGAAAAGACATTTATAAATGTCTTTACTATTTAATAAATGCTGTTCTTTTCAACTCATCGAAAATAGAAACAGAAAACGGATATTTTAAACAAATAATATTTCACAATATCACCGTTTTTAATGGATTTTAATCAAATCCAGCATTGGTGAGCATTAGCCACTTCTTTCAAAGACATTAAAACGGCTCGTATTAAACGTTTAAGATACTCTTTTAAGCGCTCTCTAACTGTTGATGCTTCTTAACTTCCTTCTGTCTCCAATAAACGTCAAATATCTAACACTGAGGGAAGTAATAAAACAGCAAAAGCAGCCTAGCAACCCAATAACAAATATAATTAAAGCTGCAAGCAGCATTTATCGGTGTTCAGGTCTTTAAGGCATTTAAGCACAAAAGCATCAAAAGACATTAAGTTGTATGTAGCAGGCATGATTTATCATGATATACTACATTTCAGCACTTTTTTTTCAGCACTTCGTGCCTGAACACCTAATAATGAGAGACCTTTTTGACGATTGTAGCGCCACCTATGATCCGATCCTCACGAAACTTTGCATGCTTCCTAACCATGTTAGGCCACATATGCTCACCGATTTTTATGAAGTTGTGACTTTTTGGGGGGGATTTAGGGGCTTTTGACTGAATTTTGCCGCAGACCACTATCTAAATGAGCCTGTTACAGCCAACCAAATGCAAAATTTCAACTTTTTTTCGATAATTATTGATCTAGAGAGTCCAGAGAATAGGCCTAGACGGGTTTGGTCCCGATTGGGCAAAAAAACAGGGACTAGTTCGCAAAAGTGGGTTTTGGACAAAAACCGAAATAACAAATTTTTTTTTTGCTCCAAATGGAAATCCGAGATATACATCTTGTCCGCCTTGAGCCAGGGATTACAGTGGTGTAAAAACATTGAAGCTAAGTCAAACGGTCTAGGAGTTATGAGCAATTTAGTACTTTTGGCTGCTGTAGCGCCACCTATGGGCCAATCGGGGTCATACTCTGATAGCTTCTCCACAATTCGAGGCCCTACCATCTGACAAAGTTTCACAGCTCCAGCCCTTACGGTTTGGGCTGCACGATGCGTTTTAGGGGATTTTTTTTTTTCTTTCTAGCAAATACAATAGGTTTTCAGCACTTCGTGCCTGAACACCTAATAATGAGAGACCTTTTTGACGATTGTAGCGCCACCTATGATCCGATCCTCACGAAACTTTGCATGCTTCCTAACCATGTTAGGCCACATATGCTCACCGATTTTTATGAAGTTGTGACTTTTGGGGGGGATTTAGGGGCTTTTGACTGAATTTTGCCGCAGACCACTATCTAAATGAGCCTGTTACAGCCAACCAAATGCAAAATTTCAACTTTTTTTCGATAATTATTGATCTAGAGAGTCCAGAGAATAGGCCTAGACGGGTTTGGTCCCGATTGGGCAAAAAACCAGGGACTAGTTCGCAAAAGTGGGTTTTGGACAAAAACCGAAATAACAAATTTTTTTTGCTCCAAATGGAAATCCGAGATATAC